GATAAATAAACTTTTTTTTGATTTGATTTGATCTTCGGACAAGTATGCAAAAACATTGCGCAATTTATCGGCTTCCTGACCCATCTGTCCTGCCTCAGTTGTACAGCACAACTATGGAACGGCATAATACTCAAAATGAAATAAATATATCTATAAATAAATGTGAATAAAGAAATATTTCAACAATTAAATGTGTCCTTTTATTTTTAAATAATTCAATAAAAAGTATTATATTTCATAATGACGTTTGTCTTCTGCATATAGTCTTTAAAATGCATTTTGTAATAATGTTGTGGTTTTCATTAGACATTCATCATAATAAAATATTATTTCCCAAATGTGACTATTTGAATTTGAGAAAACACTTTTTTATACAGTGTGTAGTTAGAGTATGGAATAGTCTTCCTGCTGGTGTAGCACAAGCTAAAACCCTGGGTTCCTTTAAATCAGAGCTAGATAAGATTTTAACAACTCTGAGTTGTTAGTTAAGTTCTCCCCAAACGAGCTTGATGGGCCGAATGGCCTCCTCTCGTTCGTAAATTTCTTATGTTCTTAAATAATTCAGACTATAGTTCTCAATAAAGTTCAGCTTTTCACAGTGATGTATTTCTAAATGACAGGTTTTCTGAACCACTCTGCTTCAACCCCGCAGTACAAAGACATTCAGAGGTTAATTGGAGTTAGCAAATGGCCCACATGTGTGAGTGAATGGTGTGTGATTGTGCCTGGTGATGGGTTGGGGCCCCATTCTGTTGCTCCCTGCCTTGCATCACCCATAGCCTCTGAGATCCAGACCCCCCGCAACCCTCAATAGGATAAGCGGTTACAGAAAATGGATGGGTTTTCCAAACTAGCTTTTTATTTAGACTTTAGCGATTAATTGTCATTGCTGACACACAACAACAAAATGTGTTCTCTGCATTTGACCCATATGTTTCAATGTGACATAGCAGGGGGCAGCTAATTCAGCACCCGGGGAGCAGTGCTTGGGGGCGGTACCTTGCTTAGGGTACCTCAGTGGTGCATTGCTGGTTAGGGATTCGAACCAACAATCTTTTGATTACAAGTGTGTGTCCCTAACCATTAAGCCACCACTGCCCACAATTCATTATTTCATAATGCCATGACACATTATTAGGCCGAGCAGATATGCAAAGTAGTTCAGAAAAGGCCTCCAAAGCTATAGAGGACGTGAGAGAGGTCAGTAGTTTAGCAAAAGCAAACACATGTACTGTAAGATGATTAGCAAAAAAATAGATTAGCAAAGCAGACACATGTAAGAGGCCTTGTTACGGCAAATCCCATTGCCCCTATGGAACACTGTTGGGGCGTAAACCCCGACCCAGAATGCATCTCCACACGGCATTTTTTCCCCTCTGTACATCTCCACGTGGTATTTATTACCCTCTAAACATGGTAAATGCCCATGTTTAGGCAGCATAAAAATATACGCTTAAAAAACCCATGTAAACATGTATTTTTATACCACGTCAATATGGTACAAATGTACGTGCCAAAAAGTACTAGTACATACCCTGGCTAATACTTTCCTATTCAAGCGCAAAGGTAATACGTGTTATTAGACCAACTTCCCAGCATTTTTTTGGTGTTGTAGGGAAAAAATGACTTGCTGTTCATGAGGCAGTTTACTACACAGTCACACATTTTGCACTGACATGCCTTCTGACATAGATCATATATCAAATGCCGTGGATATATACGCAAAACATATCATATTGAGTTTAGTCAGTTGCACATCATCAGCTGATGACTGTAATGCATGAAAGGTCAAAAGGCTCAGTATTGTTGTGTGTTACGTGCTCTGAAATGTGCAGAGCTGACCGCATATGTTCTAATGAAGCTTTAAACATATACAAGTTTTAGGAACATCACTGGCCGAAGTCCTTGAAGACGGGCATTTTTACAGGGGTCTAGGGGGTTAAAATGCCGTGTCGAGACACAATCTCTCTCTCTCGGTTTATATCCCGATGGCGCTCCATATATTTGATATATCTGTAATGCAACTAGTTCTGACTTCAGTCACGTTGAAAACATGTAGGGAGCACTTGATCCAGTCACAAGCTTGATCCCGTCCCTCTGAAAGAGATTAACAGTGCACCATTATTATGAAAAGAAGCATTATGAAATGAATAGCTGGTTTGAAAAACTGTCATTCGGAAATACATCAAAGTGAAAAGTTGAACTTTATTGTGAAATAGAATTTGAATTATTTAAATAGTCACATTTGCATTATGTAAAATTATATTTTTTTAATAATGACTGTCTAATGAGAATCACAACATTAATAACAATACAATTTAAAGAATATATAGAAGACACACATTATTATGTGTAAATATGTAAATATATAATTTATTGAATTATTTAAAAATAAAAGGACATGCTTAATTAATTACTGAAATATATATTTATTCATTTATTTATATAGATATACAGTATGTTTTTACACACCACAGGTTTTTTACCATTTTTCCATTTATTTAATAAACTGCAGATTTTTATTCTTGTTAAGCATTGGAAAGTTGAGTGAACAACTATAAATGAAAATATAAGTCAAATAAAACAAGTTTCCTTTGTAACATGGAAAGAGTATGTAACAGTGCACGTCTGACCTCTTGCTAACTGGTTGTGTGATGATGGCAAAGTCAAATTAAGAACATAAGAAATTTACAAATGAGAGGAGGCAATTGGACCCATCAAGCTCGTTTGGCGAGAACTTAACTAATAGCACAGAGTTGTTAAAATCTTATCTAGCTCTGATTTAAAGGAAAATTCTAGGCTGTCATTTAACTTTAAATGCACAACTTAACTATTTCATCCCATGAAACAGAGTAGTATTTAATGTCCCTTGCAGAAAGGATGCCTTGACTTTTGTTTACTGTTATAACTTGTAGAGGAGGTTATTTTGATAAATGAAAGATATGACCTTCTCTTGCCAATAAAGGTGAAATGGTGAACACACTGTAAATTTATTTGTTAGCAAAGAATATGAAGTGTATTTTTAATAAATGTTACGTGAGTAACATGCAAATGTAGAAAATCTCATTGTGTACAAAAACCTTTGACTGGTAGTATGTATTTATATATTTCATTTTGAGTATTATGGCGATCCATGCATGACATGCATCTAAACCTTTTGTACTAAATTGTTTTAAAACTCAGTAGCTCCTTCCTGCTAAGTCCGTTCCTTCCTGGCCTGTCCCTGCTTTCCTGTCCTGCCCTGCCTCTCCGTTCCTTCCTGTCCTCTCCGTCTCGTGCTCCCAAACACCCCACGCTAGCAGTCCCAAGACAAGAAAACGCTTTGTGAAGTGACACACCCTTCAAGCCTGGAGCGGCATTGTAAAAAGTCTCAGATCTCAGAAGCGTCATTAGTTCCAGAACACACTGTATACCATCAGCTGTGGGGCTCTCACGCTGAAGTTACTCTGGTTCATCTATAACCAGTCTTGCCCGTCACTCAAAACTAAAATAGTCAGTCTGGACACCTGTGCCACATAATAAGTCTTTTATAGCTATATGAAAAAGGACCATTGCTTTTTCACTATGAAGCCAAACTGCATGTCTCATGTGCATACAGTGTAAGCATGTAAAGTTACGCTGTTGTTATCGTTCGCTCACTATTTATTGCTATTTACCGTTCTTATCCTGTCCTCATTGTCACCAGGATTTACTCTACGGTCTGCAAGAATCATGCAAGTAGGAATTTCACACCACCAATGCAAACATGATAGTACCAGAACCAAAAACATGGCCCTTCATACCTCACATTTTCATATTAATAATAATGTAAAAACGTGATGTTAAAGACAATACATTTAAGTCATTTATGTATTCAAGTAGAATAGATGTTGTTTGTTATTATCCTTATTATTTTTGTTTGCAGTGGTGGCAACAGCAGGATCATCATTATCACTGACATCAGCAAGCTTTGATATAGTCTCAGTGTCTCTACCTGCATAAGACCTGTTGTACGCGAGTTGCTGCTGTGCAGTAAGTCACGTCCGCAGCCTGCACGGCGGTAGGAGGAGACCCAGGTTGGGTTTCATGTGCCCCAAGCCATTGAAATGGCTGAAAGGACAGGCGATGCCTTTGCCGTGCAGAGGGAGTCTACACTTTCCAAGGAGGGAAATTGTCCACTGAAGTGGCTTAGATCACTTTACAGCCGGGGCCGTGGGAGTCCGCCATGGGCACCTTTTCTGCGGTTTTAGCATTTAAGAGTTTAGCATTAAATAGCTGCCTGAGATCAGGAGGGGAGCGGCACTGGATGTGAGCAAATTTAATGGGGGGAGGCGGATTAAAAGTAAAAGGCCGGTATTTAAACCCCTCATGGACGAGATGGGACAAGTATCAAAAATAAAGAGCAAGGGAGGTGAGGACCAGAATAGACCCCACATAATCTGACAGATGGGGGATGCTCAATGTACGAGGACCGGGCCAGCAGGATCCAGGCCCATGCTGTCTCAATGGTAATTTACACTTATGTCATGGAGCAAATGCAGCCCCTACCCACTCACTCTTCATTTTATCTGTCGCCAGTAGACATGCCTCGCTGTTGTATTCAAGGGTCCCGCTCAGACAATACTTCTTATATGAGAAGTGGGGTGTGTTGATAATACTTCAAGTGTCGCTTGAACTCGAATGGCTCGCAGCGGTGTCAGGGCATGCTTCCTACGATACGGAACTCGCGTATCGCTCTTAAAATTCTGGGGCAGGAGCAGGCTGGGTCTGGTCGGACAAGCAGATTCACATGGGAAACCCTACCCCGTTTTTGAATCTTCTCGGAATTCCTGTTGGCTGACGGCTGTATCCGTCTGCCGTCAAACTCAAGTTCCTACGTGCGCATACTGTCAGCGCACTTCCTGTAAACAGCCTCGTTGTTTACTCTGTGGTGAAATGGCTTCATGTCATGGGCCTTAGACAAGACCCTCCATAAATAACAAAGGAGAGGCGCCGATGTGAGGCAGTAAAGACTGACACGGTTTTGCAAATGATGTATATAATTTCCCTTTAATTGTGATCCTCAGAACACAGCAAAAACAAGTTGATTCTTTATGAAAACAGCAATCAAGCTTACATAGCTAGAATCAAGAGGAAAGATTGAGTTAGAAGAAATAGTGAAAGTAATAAATTGTTGTCTATATAAGGCCCCTTTAGAAATGTGAAAGCAAGTCATGTCTCAGTTCAGACCCTCTCTCTCCCCTCTGAGTCTTTCACCCGGAATCATAGCTACTAGCATTAAACATGTTCTTACCAGCTCTTAGTTAATAGCCTTGCAGTACAGTTACCATATAATGTGGTGCCTGAGTCATTTATCATTTATGTCTATTAGACGATTAAGCGCTATTGTAAGTTGCTATTAATTTTCACAAAGTCTGCAAGTCTGTTTATGGTGGGGTTTCTGTCTTTAACCCTGGAAACCGACTTCCTTGTAGACAGAGTCTATATCCGCGATGACCACTCCCATCACGTTCCGCAGGGCCGTTTGTCCAGCCGCATCCATCCCCGCTTTCTCAGCCATCACCTTCGCAAGGACCTCGGTGATCAGCTGAAACGGACCAGCAGAGAGGGGTCAGTGTGGCAGAGACACACACACACACACACACACACCACGCCAGCTCACTGGACATGACCTTCACTGTCAGCACTATGCGGAAGATTATAATCAGAGGTGGAGATTTCAGGTCCAGAGAGTACAAATCCAGACCAAGATTTTGTTTCAACCAACCAGTTGAGTATAAAGAGTCACAGACACAGAGTACCCAACTGGGTGGTTGAAACAAAATCATGGTCTGGATTTGTACTCTCTGGACCTGAAATCTCCACCTCTGATTATAATCTTTGTGTCGTCCTTGAGTCAAGTTCTTATTCTCTTACTGCTGTCTACATGGGTATAAAGAGAACATAGCTAAGCGGTGAATTTGTATTGGGATAAAAGTTGTTTCCAATTGGATAAAAATAAATCCTGTGCCACTGTGAGAAGTACCAGCTGTGTATGAGCCCCTACCTTGAAGTTGTTGAGAGCGATTTTGTGTGTCTTGGCATGGTTGGTTGCCAGCGGCTTGAGGATGGGGCCGTGGTTCCCCCTGGCATTCAACAGCTCCCCCAGCTTCTTCAGCACGGTCTCGCCGTGGGCTGCAACTGCCGCGTTGCCGGCCAGCTCGCTTTGTGAAAGCCCAGCGAACTTGGGGAACAGTTTCTGCGTGTCGGGATACTCCTTGAAGAGACTGGAGTGAGATTTACAAAGTTAGCGGCTCCTTTGTTAGTTATCTCTTTGTAAATGGCGGTCAGAGGCAATAAAGCAGCAGGCCAGGTGATATTTACTGATGAAGTACCACGTCTCCGTGAGTAATAATGTTATGGGGGTGGGTGCCGGAGATATTGAAGCTGATTCTGTGAAGAAAATGCTTCTTCAGGATAAAGCCTTTAATGACCTCCTCAGCTCCATGATATATAATGGTGTTTAATCTGGTTTGGTCTATTTACAACATACTTATCAGCCAAGAAAAAAAAACCATAAGATCTACATGGAAATATTCTCACTCATGACAAATTTAATGCATGGAAGACAGATTGCCGAGGACCAGTGAACTGACTGACCGGGTCAGAACCTCGCCGCCAACTCCTCTGTAGTCCTTCTCAACGGCGGGCCAGTACTTCAGAATCTGGTCGAAGTCAGACATCTTCTGAAACGAAACAAAACAGACTCATCAGTGTGATTAGGCCTAGCTACTGACCCTCACGCTAGAGGCTCTGTCTGGAAGCGTGTCAGAAAAGCGTAGACTGGAGACGTGGACCAGTCAAACAAAGAAGACAAATTACTTCCTTGAGAGGGTCATTTTTAATATTAATCTTAGTTCATTCTAATTCATTGACACCCCCCCCCCCCCCGGCTAGAAACAATAAACAATAGTGAGGCTAAGTAAGTGCTAAGCTTGCCGAGGGTGGGTCTCTCACAGAAGGTCTATACCAGTCAAAGACTAGATGGGTGGCACAGGGTAATAGACAATGTGAGGGGTAAGCCGGCAGTCATCAGGGTCATTATGAAGTATGATGGATTGAAGGCATGTGGGGACAGCGCACAGTTCTTTGGACTGCACTATGTAACGCCACGTGACTCATTCAGAGCTGAGGTGGGATTCAAACCAGCAGCCCTGCCGGTGGCCAGTGCCAGCATTACCCACTAAATCACTCTTCTGCATTATTTGTAGCCGTTGAATGAAAACAATTAGAATATAAATGAACGTGACAGCTATACCTAGAATATATCAGAGCAACACCACTATATCTATTTCATAATTCCTATAATCCCATATTTTTTTAGTTATTGAGTTAGTTTGTTAGCCTACTCTGTGGTATAACAATAGCAATATGTGACCTTGACCTGCTATATACTATTCAGATAAGTATAAAAGAGTCTCTGTAGTTATTTATATCAGCTGCAGCTCTGACAGTCTGTACAGTGACCTTTCTGCAATGCTAATTATTTCGGGCTCGTTCTTTGAATGCTGACTGCAGTCAGCTGACCTCTACTGTTCGCCCGCTCAGTCAACGCTCGGGAACCGGAGGCGCCCCGGACGAGCTACGCTAACAGACGCGTCGCCTAACCGCGATCTGGCTTCGCCTCATCCCCCTTCACTCAGCAGTCTGACCTTCGCTTCACATCATCTTTACGGCGGAGCTTTGCATCGTGACGGTAATACCTGTAAAAGCATGTTTGTGAGCAGAAAAAATCCGTACTCATCGTTGTTTTGCAAGTATTTGTATCTTGTTAAAACGTTTTTCTCCCACACCGCACCAGTGACTTCGTGGTTAAAGGAGCAACTTCGCTGGTTTAAAAAAAAAATGCGGTTTAAAATTGCAACAGTTTTAAATTGCAAATTGCTACTGAACTCTATTGAGACTTATAACCTGAGATGCCTGGGTAAATGTCCATCTGAGTATAAAACATTTCCTCTTCTTTCAGACCCCTCTTTCTCCGGGTAGGGGAATAGTGCAATCGGATCCTCGTGAGTCTTACACAGAGGTACACTTTCTCTAATGGGTTTCTTCTTTGTGTTTCTTTCAAGCTCATCGTATCCCCTGTTTCGCCGGTCATCGTCTAGATAATGATTTGAAGGATTAAATGATTAATACTTGCATTCGCCTAGGATCTTACATTGCTGAATCATTCATTATAATTAAGCAAATTAAAATTACCCTAATATTGAATTAAAAGTTTCTTTAAAAGCCAGTTGGAATTATTTATACCCAGAACAACTGACGCAGAGTCCCTCGCCTTTAACAATATGTTAAAGGATAACCTTTGAGAATCTTCATTTGTTTGAAGGGGCTTTTGGGTGCATATTTAAACCAGATACTGTCCATCGTTTGAATCAATGCAGTCCCAGAAACCGTCCTAGGTGGTGACTCAGTGACTAACTGTTACATCTCCAGGGTTGGGGGTTCAAATCCCCCCCTGTTCTGTGTTTGAAGCTTGCCTGTTCTTGCTGTGTACAGTTGTGCAGGTATCCTCCTGCAGTTCAAAGGCATGCATTTCAGCAAATTAGTACCCTGTGATAAACTAGCATCCCATTCAGGGTGTGTCCCCCCCTATCTTGTGCCCTATGATGCCCGGGGAGGCTCCTGGCCAACCCTGCAACACTGCACTGGGTAAGTGGTTAGAAAACGGATAGAAAACTTTTCTGTTACATTTAAAAAGCGTGCAGCCGAGTGCATGTCCTCGTTTGCACAAATAACGAACCAAACCACGAAAAATGCAGTCACATGTTAGCACCACAGTAAATCATGCACTTACTCAAAAAATCTATGCAAAATCAATGAAAACGTACCGTACAAGATATTCAGGTGACGTCCCGAGTTAAGTTGTGTGTGAATCGTTTAATGCCTCAGTGTACTGTTCCAAGTCCCAAACCTTACCTTTTATACCCCTCAACTTCACTCATGAATTACAGTCCAACCATCAATCTCTCTCTCTCTCCCCCCTTTTCCTGTCTTAAGAATTAACTCCACCTCTTTTCCTCCCTCCCTGATACTATTACAGCATTGTTCCACACTTTTTTTTTAATGTATTTCTCATACTCGCATCTTATTTTTATATTTGGTTCTTCATTTAAACTATCAGGACTAGTTACACTCAACTTCAGCACATTGACTCTTGCTTTCAGATTCCAAACTGTACTTTTTGCTTCGAATAGGTTTGCGGTCCAAACATTTTGTCTCGGACTAAATAATTCATCACTTCACTTGCCTCATGTTCTTGGTCACAGAATACCTCACGTACTGCAAAATGGTGAACTTTCCGTGTGTGATTGGTGACACATTCGACAATTGGCAGGTTGTGGCTCATGTGTGGCCAATGACATTGGGGAGTGATTAGAGGTTATCGGTCCAAGGCGAGCCAGACTGCTAGCGTGACCAGGAGGGAATGTTGCCAAAGCATACAAATGAAAAAAAAATGACGAAAATGGTCATAGATAGAGGGAAGATCGTGATGTCCTCGTTTGAGGAGAAAGAGGGAACAGCTTTCAATGGAAGCCTCTTCAGGTTTCCACAAGAGAGGTGAAACTCTATAAAAGGAATTTGCCTCTCTATCTGTATCATTCTCTGGCCTCTCCTTTTGGCCTCACTCTCTTCTGTCTGTTGTTCACTTCGCCTCGCTCTCTCACTTTGCCCAACTGCTGCACGAGTTTGCATGGCTTTTCAGCAGCTGCTCACTTTGTTCCAGTCTTGCTAGTGCATTCGGTGACAGATAAGTTTAGTCCCATACAATTTCCCTCTCGCCTTAGGTTCAAAATTCAAGCTCCAAATGTTAAATAAAATATATATTGGTCTCAGCAGAGCCCAAGCAGTCTGGCTTTTAATCCGCATCTTTGGCAAAGCCATCAAACAAAGTGGAAAATCCGGCTTCAGGGGATAAGCATGTATCAGAACAATGGAGATCAAAGTGTAATTTAAAAAAAGAAAAACACTTTTCTGCTTTTTTTTTTTTTTTTTTTACAGAAACACTGCAAAACATTTTTACTACAACGGAAAAGTGTATGGTGCATAATTCATTTTTTGAAGTATCTTGGGTTTATTAAGTGGCACAGAATTCCTCTCTCACTGACTTTGCTCTTTTGATATGGACATCAACTCCTACACCGAGCATTATGTTCACCGAGGGGACAAGAATGTCATCGCTAAAACACATGATGGACCAGCCTCATTTTCCTCAAAAATGATGCTTTTTCATCCAAAACCACTTGCAGCAAATAATTTATCTGCAAAGTAAATCATTGCCATTAACGGTTAAACATTGACGGTGGATTTTTGCGTCACATGACTGATCATGGGCTGTATATAACTTGGGGGAAAAGGGTCCCCCGTCCCAGGGGAGGCTAAACAAAGATATCAGATGCGTAGCCTTTCCACCGCGACAATGTAAGGAAGGGAAGGGTGTGGGGAGACGATAGGGATAAACAGATAGAAAGATAACAGCAGTCCGACGGCATCTAGACAGAGGATCTCAGACAGTCTTTCGGCCTATGCAAAGGGGAAAGGACACTGACCAAAGATAGTGTTTGGCACTATCCAGAAAAACAGACTCTCAGCAATCCCGTTAATAATAACTTTGCTGATGGGAACTTAATGATGCAGCCAAGGTATGCCACTTGGAGTTGGTATCTAGGTGTAGATACAATTATTCCTGGGAGCCCCATCGCAGATACTCAATATGTGTGTGGATTTCGCAGTCTCACTCGAATCATTTAAATGGGAAATACCTTAGCACTATTTCTGCAAAGTATATATGCTGGGGCATATGTGAACAGTTAAAAAGCCCCCGTGCCTGGAGGAAACCACATACTCCCACTCAGTCATGTGCAGGGGCACGCTCCCAGGCCATTCCATATGTAATTGAGAATGGAGTTTGTTTTAATACAATGTGCTTCCCCCTGGTGGCCATTATGGTGAAACACATCTGAGACGCATGCAGAAATTCTAGGCAGTACTCTGACGTCCCCTGCTGACCTCATCCAGAAATTACAGATAACGAAGGCTTGGTGTTTAATTTGGAAGGCATATGTGTGATTTCAAACCATGGCCTGTTCTTAGAGCCTTGAAGTTGAACATGTGTCAATAGAGAAGGATTCGCCTTCATGGTGACTGCTGACTTAACTGTTGACTTATTCTTAATTCTATTTTTGATTTGATTTGCAGAGTCTAAGGGTCGTTCAGGGTTCATTTCACTACATGTTGTACTTGTATAACCATGTATGTGACAAATAAAGTATCTAGTATCTATCTGATGGTTAGCGTGGTTCAATATAAAGATACCCAGAGATGCAAAATTAAATACACCATCTGTAAATGAAATTTGGAATTTCATTACAAATGTAATGTATAAACTCACGCACACCATGCCTCCATTTTCAATATAACTGTTTTCTTGGCAAAGAAAACAGGTGGGTGTGTAATCTAATATAAAAAACAGAAATATTTTAATATTAGATGTACATACTTAAAAAATATAGGGAAGAATGTAGCTCTGCAGGTTATGACTGTGAAATGAAGGTCACTGCTTCAGATCTGCTGATGATGGTACCAGTGGTTTAAACCCCATAGGTAGTGATGTTACTTTGGGCCCTTGAACAAGGCCCTTAACCCCAGTTGCTCCAGAAATACTAGCTGACCTTGTTTTCTTAGCCTCGCTTGTACAATGGTTTGGGCAAAAGCTTCTGTGAAATAAATGTTATGTGAATAAAGACCAAGGACTCTCAAATCAGGGCCTTAATGTAAACATGCAGTATGAATAACTAATGGAGTTTAGCTTTGACTTAATTGCTTGTCCACATTATTTGTTTAAACTCTACCAATCAAAAATGTCGTCATCTCTGTTCCTTCATTTAAGCACTGCTATGTAGTTCGATAAAATATTCATATTAAAATTGTCTTGCAGTCTTCTTATTCTTGTTTCCTTCCCATGAAAGTTATTTTAAAACATGCAGTGATTGTAGGGACTCTGGGGGCCCTAGGCAAAAACAGCTCTATGGGCACACCTAACTCCCCCTCCCGCGGAATGTAAAATAAACCTTTATTTTACTGTGAAGTGTAAATTTAATAATATTTAAGGAGAATTTACCAAACACACAACCTTTATTTTCACTTTTCTGAAAAACAGAATGCACAAAGCAGTTTTGTCGATGCAATGTACTATATAATCGGCCATCCTTGGGGGCCCCTCATACCTCGGGGGCCCCAGGCCATTGCCTGCCCTGCCTATCCCGCAACTGTGAAAACACCACTTAATACTATTCATGGGACAGATTTTAGTCTATTATAATAAACTCTGTTGTTTTCTTCTTTAGCAAAAGTTTTTTCTTTTTTGCCTTGTGTGAAATGAGGATTGGTTCTCCCGTGTGTCAATCAACCCGCTTTGCTTCAGCGGGGCCCTGATTGGTCGGGGCGCTGTCACGGGGGATCTTTACCGGAAGAAAAATCAGGTAAAGTGTCGAAGGTTGTATCTCCGGAAAATCTGGCAATTACGTAGGATATAGGGGTTAAATAAGTTAATCTGAAAGCGGAATGCGCTGTTTTTCCTGATAACATGTAAGCCTTTTGTGCGACCTAAAGAGCGCCATTGTTTATTTCAATCTCTGTCGTCCCCGGTTTGTTTCAGTAGTTTGACACGTTCAGTCGGCTTTTCCAAAACCGCAGGAATCGCAGTGGATTTCGTCGCCCATACATGCTTATTAGAGTAGCTTCAGTATTAACGTGTAGTGTGCCTCTCTCTCACTTCACTTTTCCCAGGCTGTAAAGGATGATTCCGAGCCTAAGAAGTGTCCGACACTTTTCTACAACAGCGATTATGAAGCAAGTTGGTGAGGAGCTGTCATACACATGGTCGGTCCGATAAGTGACAGGATGACTGTCACAGCACATACGGGGACGGAGTCTCGGGAAGCGCGCGTCTGCCATATGTACCACTACCAACAGTCACAGTTAGAAATGCTTTTCTTTTACCATTTTATACCATTAGCTTTAAACAATAAGTAATGCAAAAGAAAATGAGGTAATGAAGTCTCCTTGCGTTATATTATAATTATTATTGTTGCACACCTCTGTATGCGTGGAGTTTTCAGGTTTCCCCCGTGTTTGCCAGTGTTTCCTCCCATGGTGCAGTTAGGTGTGTTCCCTGTGATGCACTGGTGTCCTTACCATGGCCTTCTACTTTATTAGTAGTTGTAGAAGATTCAATCCAATTTATTTTTATATTGCGCCTTTCACAACAGTTACCCCAAGGCACTCTGGGTGTTTTGTGGTACATTACAGCATCATTAAGACAATGGTGGGTTCTTACTGCTATTATTAATAGGGCTCCAAGCACATAGTGCTGCAACCCTATTATATTATTATCATTATTATTATTTATTATTATTATTATAACCAGAATGATTTTAGGACAACAGATGGTTAATGTTGTGGTATTCCACCTACGCAGATAAATGTGTTTTCCTGTGCGCAAGTTTCCACAGGTTGAAGTCAGTGAGAAAACATTCATCTTGACAATAGTTAAATTCACCTACCAAACTGAGTGCATTTCCCCCTTATTCCCTTCCTTGGTCAGCAAACCCCCTTTTCTATTAATGAAATGAGATTTGCAATCAGGACCTTTTCATGAAAAACATCCAGCTATTCACATTCATCAGTGTAAGTTTTTCCCTCTTTTAACCTCTTTTTTTTTTATGTAACAGTTTCAGAACTACATGTGTCGGTGCCATGGGGAGAAATCAGGGGCCAAGTCTGGGGTCCTGAACATGGCCGTCCAGTACTGTGCCTGCATGGCTGGGCAGACAATGCTGGGTCCTTCAACACCCTAATTCCACTTCTACCAAGAGGTTCAACTAATTATTATTATTATTATTTATTATGATTTGTATTAGTGGTGGTAGTAATAGCAAGGCCAATTTATAACAAAACTACTACTATAATTACATAACATAAAATGTACCACTAAACAGTTTTAATGATAGAAACCTTTTTTTATTATTATTTTTTTAAAAGTCAGGCTGCTTTTGTTCTAGTTGTGATGCCAAGGTTGTGATGGGGGGGGGGGATTGTGGGCACAGTACTATGCCCGTTTTATGCCATCTGCCTGTGCTGCCCCTCGTCCCCATCAGACTGGAGGTGCGTGGCTGTGGATTTGGTCGGGCATGGACTGTCTAGCCACAGGCCGGCGGGCGTCCTCTACACCTTCCCCGCGTACGTGTACGACGTGCGGCAGGTCGTCGAAGGTACGAGCCGACGAGCCATGCCCCCCCCCCCCCTGCCATTTTGCATCTCATGGTGTGATGTGGAATCGGCACTGCTTATTTAGGGGTAACTCCTGTGGATCCCGCTGTCGTTTCAGCTCTGCAGTGGAAACGCTTCTCCATAATTGGACACAGCATGGGTAAGTGTTTACAGTGTGTTCATGTAAACCAGAATGCCTCCCCTCATCTGTTTCTCCTCATCCTTGTCTTTTTTGTCTTTGAATGTTGGTCCCATGGCTTCTGTTGCCCTCTTTCTCCATCTTTGGAGCAACTCCATTAATCATCTCCTTTTATTTTACAGGAGGCAACATTGCTGGTTTGGTGAGACTTCCCTTTGGTTTGGTTGCCCTCCTTCATCTGTCATGGTTTATCAGGCCCTGGATATTCCACTTATTCAATCAAGGCAACAAGTAGCATGTCAGAATCTTTCCTGTGTGCTGGGTTCATAATTATTAACAGTCGCAGCTCTTAGTCATGCTGGGGCCGCTTGGCCAGCATGGAAAATACTGGGAGGTCCGTTGTGCGTAAGAAATTAACCCAAGCTGCTTGGTCTGAGCCTGACGGGATTAAATGTGTTTAATTGCAGTTCAGCGCGTTATATCCTGAGATGGTGGAATCTGTCGTGTTCCTGGACTCGTTTGGCTTCCTCCCTGCTGAGCTGGTACGGCTGTGGAGCCCCTTACTGTGTATTCGGTGGGCATCGTGGGTACTGACATCTTTCCTGAATCTCTAGTGTTGTATCTCAGATGTCTCTCTCTCTCTCTATCTCTGTCTCTCTTTCTCTCTCTCCAGAAAGAGATGGCAGGACTTGCAAGAAAAGGGATCGAGGAGATGATTGAGTTTGAAAAAAAGAAAGATGAGAAGAGAGAACGGCTTTACACTTATGAGAAAGCAGTAGAAAGGTTATTTCTGACCTTCTAATTGGGTGACGTAAGCTAGGCGCTTTGGTCGTCTCTCAGCACAGAGCTGTGTTTCACCTAGAATGAATAAATCCACCCTGAGTTTCCTCTGTAAAATATGTGAGAAATTCTGAAGACTTTTATCATCAGTGTCCCAAAAGTCATTAAATTTCAGCCCATAGTCTTGCTCTGTTTTAGTAGCGTTCTCTCTCTCTGCTACTTTACATCTCAGTGGTAAAACGATGCAGACTAAAACTTCCACTGTCTCTGTCTCAGGTTGATGGCAGCCAATCCGTCTTTGTCTGAGAAATCTGTTCACATCCTTTTGGAGAGAGGCAGCACGCAAGTTGACGGAGGTCAGCCCCAATCCCTCTGCTCTGCTTTCCCTTAATACATAGACTTGTTTCCTTTAATGGCTGTCAGCAGCGCCCAGATGAGTCTAACACTGGTACTTAGAGATGCTGTTACATCTGAATTGCTTCTGCTTCTCCTGCCCTGTAAGTGGCACATGGGATCGAGAGGCATCTCAAAGGTTTATGGCTGAAAATAGGGCTTTCATATACAACAAATGATGTCATTACGTAAGGTGCAAGACATAGGTTGTGTTGTTTAAATTGAACTGAGTTGTATTGTCTCCTGTGATGGACTAGCATCCAGTCTGAGGCATGTCTGTCCTTGTGCCCTTTGCTCCCTGTAATAGGCTGCAATCTCGCCGTGATTTTGTATTGGATATGGTGATCGAAGATAGATTTGCATTGCTTTCCAAAGTTAGATAAGCGGTAATGATGGTATAATTACAACAATATAAGAACGATATAATGACGATATAATAATGTTTTGGATAAGCGGTAATGGAAGATGGATTTGCATTGCTTTACAAAATTGACTGTTGAGTAGAGGGTTTCTCTGCGGTACTTGATTTGGCTAATCTGGGAGTTTAAGATTAATCCACTTTAAATATATATTTAATAAGTTTCTTTTTATTGAGAAGTAGAAAACCAAACACAAGCATTTGTAAAATATGCATTTTTTATTTCCCTCCCTGACCCCATTCACAAATCAGTGCATCATGTTCTGTCCAGCTTAAGGGATAAACGAAAACAACCTTGGCATAACTAACTAACGTCCGTCCGTTTTTCAAACTCAATCATTTTTCAAACTCAACCATCCGTCTGTCCGTCACTGACTGTCACTGCTGGCCAATGTATTAAAAAGTCAGATAATACTAATATTACTAAATGATCATAAATAATTCTTTGTCTGTCCTTCTGTCGGCTCTTCATTTAGACATGAGAAGGCCTGAAAGTATTGAATGGCATTTATGAAATGGAGCACTTACTCCACCTGCTGGCCAATTTATTAAAACATTCAAAATACTGCATTGTGCACTGGCTGACTTATAAATGAAGTCAAATGGCAGTAAAATGAAGGGAAATTAATATGGACTCCGTTGAAGGGGAAAGTGACAATTCTTTGATGGTTTTACAAACAATAAGGACATTTCAGCTGAATTAGCTAAAAGGGTAAAAAAAAGGATTTTGACAAATTCAGAGAAATGATTAAAATGTTAATTGCATTGGTTTTGCAGGTTTAGAGACACATTTTACATTGCTGTAGCGCCCTCTATTGGCTGATCAGCGTCAAATTTGTAAGACCCTTCCCAAGTACCGTCCTACAATGCATATTTAAGTTTGGTGCTTATTGGCCAAAGCCGGAGGAGATATGGCTGTCTGATAGCAATGGGCGTGGCAGAGGTGTGGTCTGGGTTTGGCTGGTGGCCGTACCTTACTGAAAGTTTAAGATTTTTTAAATAATTATTTACGAGGACTCTCTGCTGACTCGAATGATACCAGAATTATATATGGTGGGTGAAAATCCTAAAACGAGTTTGAAAAAAAACTGTTTTCAAATAGGCAATAATCGAAAGAGGTAAACCAAGTTCTATAGGTGGTTTGATTTGGCATGCCATCTGGAATTCTCCTGGCAACAAATCTCAACTATAAGGTGGACATTTCAAGAGAAATGGGCAGAAATGCTAAATTTGTGACTGTAGCACCCCCTTCTGGCAGACTTGGGTGTCCTTACCAGGATGGATTGAGGATCTGTAGAGAAATGGATCCTTCAGTTTTGGTTCAGATTGGTTATTGTTAAGCCTGTGAAATGGATGCTTGATTTTGATTGGCTGGTGGTGGCCAGCATTTTATGACTTCTGACTTTTGTAGTATGTCTCTGACCTCAGGCTTGGGCCTAGTACAAATCTCCCAAATTTCACTTGGATTGGCCAAGGAGGTCAGGAGATATTGGCAGTAGGTATTTGTAGCGTCCGCTATTGATGAAATGCGGCCAGCCTTGCACTGTGTCCCCAAAACAATGCTGGGAGATTGGATTTCAAATTTGGTTAGGGTAGGTCAAGGCCTACCCGAGTTATAGCTGTCTGACCAAAATAGGCCAGATTAGGGTAGAGTTTGGATGTGGCTAATGGCCGTGTGGTAGACAAGTGTCAGACTTTTTAAATATTATTATTATATTGCTCGGGTCAGGGGTCTGATTGGTTTGACACCTCATTTGTCTGATTTGGTCAGATGAGGTAGGACAAGTAGCCAAGAGTAGGTTTTTCAAATCATGCAAATTAGCCAAAAATCTTCCAGGCGGAAGTTGTTAATTTCACTGGCAAATTTGTAGGGAATGGCTGCCTGTATCTGCAGAAAAAAAAAGAATTTTGACTCTAGGACTAACGGGTCAGGAGATATCGGCCAAAACGTATGGTCACTGTCTGACTGGTTGGATGATCTGAGTTGTGGGTAGGAATTGACAATAGTGTCCAAGGTGCTACGTGCTTTAGACCCCAATAAAACAAATAAAGGAAGGACAGTAAACAATTTTAATAAATATATTTAGCTAAATTGGATCATTGAGCTCATGAGCTCTTAGGCTGGCATTCAAACTTACCAATGGTCACTATGGTACTGCATTAAATGCCCCCTCTTTTTCCCTATAGGTGTGGTTTTCAACAGAGATTTTAGAATCAACCTGGTGAGTGTTGGCTGTATTTTATCCTCCCCTGGAGTCTGCAGATTGTAGTCCAATAGTCACTCCATCATGTCTAATACAAGTCATGTTGATGTCGTTCTCTGTCTTTCTCTCACTTTTCCTCTCCCTCAGACGAACGTTGTTCGCTGCAGCCTAGAGCAGAGCCTGGAGCTTCAGTCCAGAATACAGGCTAAAATTCTTGTTGTCCTGTAAGTCCTAATTCCTGAGTATTACTGTGGGGGGGGGGAATGCCCTGTTTCCCTGTGTAATCTGGGAAATGGAGTTTCTGATAACCACATGGGCCATAAGCACCATTGATACAGAGTTGTGTATTTTCTGTTTATGTTAATCATTAGAATATAAAAAGTTGGTCAGTTTTGTTTCATGTATTCGACAAAGTGCTTCTCCCGTTACTTGAATGGTTTTCAGCTGCTGTAAGACCTGTATCAGAGGAGTAGTAACGTTTGTTTTTTGAGCATGTAAATAATGGAGTGGACGCTGGGGGCCACATGGTTGTTTTACTGTGATTTATAACCTATGTAGCAGTTTACCATCAATCATTTTTTAGGAGTGCTTAATTGTATTAGATTTCTAAGCATAAAGAACGACATTCCAGTGTAAGATTCCCCATGCACAGGCCAGCAATAAGGAGGCTGCTTCCTGTCTCCATTCTCTAGGTGATGGATTCGTAGCCTTTGGAGGTTTTTTGTGAATAATTGTGTTAAGTAATGGGTCACAAATGTGCTGTCAATCATTCGTTTGAAAGCTGTTTTGTGCAGTAAAAATAGTTGTTCCTGTGATTGCTCTTTAATGATTACTTTAATGATTGAACAATGAGATACTGTGATTTTTGTCTCGTGTGCACGTTGACCAGATTCGTGATTTTGTCACTCAAGCCTGAGTTATTTATAGCACCTGCCGTATCCAGTGATTTGGTTCTCTTGATGTTTATCTGACCTCAACTGATTAGTGTGAACTGGGAAAAACATTTGTTTGTGATTTAGGCATGCTTCCACATCACATCACGTTACAGTCATTAATGAAACCACATCATCACAGTACTTCTTACAAATAAGGAAAACATCAGTTAGTCTAGCTTTTTATTAGCATAAGTATTTATCAGCTTGTTCTTCTATATGTACTTTGATGTGACACGTTTGTTTAGGATTCAGTTTTGTAGATGGAGAAGTTGTACATGTCCACTGTATGATAACTCCCACGCATCAAATATAAATCCCAAAACATGTTCTGACTGTTATTAGTGTCACAAGGTAGAAACAAAGGTTTCAACTGGTCTTATCCTTAGGAATTAGCTAGTTTTTCACATTTTGGAAATGAAGAGATTTTTAAAGCACATTCTTTCCAGGGCAGAGGATGGACTTATCAAGATACCGTCTAAGCCGGAGCAGAAGAGATACTTCTCTACCCTGCTGGATGGCTTTAAAGGCCTCGGGGTAAGTGTCTACATCGACATGCACAGCTAGGGGAACACCATACACACACACACACGCATGTATATAGTCATATCTTTGTGGGGACTTCTCATTAATTTCTGTGGGCATAATCCTAATCCCAACTATGACACCCTTAACCCCTACCAGCCCTAACCTTAACCATAAGTAACCAAACAGAATATAAGATTTTTAGCTTTTTATTTTTTTGATCGCAGTCACAGATTTTTATAAAATTGAATTTCTGCTTGTGGGGTCTGAAAAAATGTGGGCCCACAATGTCAAAATAACAGGTTTCTATTACATTGTGGGGACATTTAGTCATCACAATGTAGTACATACATCACACACACACACACTCTTGGACAAGCACAAATGCTCAAAAAAAGGAAAGACATGGGACACAACCAAGGTATGATGAATGGGAGGCCTACTGACACAGTGTCAGTGACACAGGCCTACTGACACAGTGTCAGTGACACAGGCCTACTGACACAGTGTCAGTGTCACAGGTCTACTGACAGAGGCACAAGCAACGTAGCGATAGCCCAGCTAAGACAGATCACAGTGAGTTAGGGGGTTGATAGCTAGTTTGTAAATAGATCATCTTTACTTTTCTTTTCTCTCCTCCCGTGAGCATATCAGCCACTGGCATAAACGACCCACCTCTCCTCTGCAGGGCCGCCAGTTGACGGTGCCAGGGAACCATCATGTTCATCTGAATAAACCCGAAACTGTGGCCTCCATCCTCACCGATTTCCTGGAGGGCAGAGCCTCAGACTTGGCTGCCAAACTGTAAGAGTCAGTGTGGTAGAAAAATTATAAATCAACCTCTGATAACACAGAGAGGCTCTTAGAATAAAAGTCTGGACCTCTTAGTTTGGTGAGTAAAGAAAATCTCTTTTACGCCAGCGAGTTCAGCAAAGCGCTCCCATCACACTCTGGCACTCGGTACCAAGTCACACCCGGCACACAGAGCAACCAGTAGATAAACCATAACTCCCAGGACTTCTAAGTCCTGTTACTTATCCCAGTATATCTCAGATCCAACAAATGAATCCCCAGACACTTTTGTGCTGTATTAGTCCTCAGGGCTATTGTCTATTCCATTTAATGTTAGCACCCGCATGCGACAGTGTGGAGCAAAATCAACTCAAGGCATCGTTTTGTCCCACTGGGGATACTGCACCCGGCAGACCCCACACCCTTTACCACATACACATTCTCCAAGACCCACACACCCTATCAACATACACCTTTATACTCCCGTGGGACCGAGAGTGGGCCAAACCCCGAACAGTGACTCAGCCCAGTGCCAGGGGTCTACAACAGCGCCTGTCTCTTCTTGCCTACGGCCTAAAACATAACAGACCCAATATGCCTCCCCTCCCGGGCCTACTAATGTCCAATTTTACTTCCGCATCAGGACCTCAGTCACTGGCACAGACATCGTTCTGCTTCAGTTGCATTAACACACTGGTTCATCACTGGGGAACTTCCCCACCAACCCTCACCTAACTTCAAGGAATGGATCCACAAAACCATGTCAGAATTAACAGCAAACATAATCTGGAACTCTGGGATCGTCGTCGTGTTTTTATAAAGGCACGTTAATTTTGAAGGGGCTTTTCTAAAATTATTGTCTAGCTGGGGTGGGGGTGAGCGAAACTGCGCACACTTAGCGAATCACTGTATTGCTGCTGCTACTGCAGACTGTAAAAGTTTAACATTAACTGACACTTTTCAGGTATTGGTGCATTTATGTGGTATCAATTTTGGGAGTTGTGAAAATTACTATTGTGAAATAGTGAAAATGTTTGACTAACATTTTGAGTCAAAGCAAAGATGAAATCTGTTTTAAGGTATTGTATTAATATATGAAGACAGTATTTATCGATCATGTGTGGCATTGTGCCTCTCCGTTACTCCTCTCATTGTGTCTGACTGCCGATGTTGTGGCAAAGAAAATAAAATTCCACCAAACTCACAAAGGTTTTCGGGTGACTCTCTGCTCCCTTCCATCAAGATCCTGAGCTGGTTGATTTGGTTCTGGTGACCATGGATTTGATACGCGAGAGCACAGGTTTTCCTTGTGCCTTCTACCAGCATCCCCCCCCCCCCCCCAAAATGAACTGAACATCTGCAGTGGGCAGGGTAGGTGTGAGCTCTCCCACCTCAGCTTGGCACAGAAGTACCTCCCCCCAATGTGATCTGGGATTACTCGCGTGTCCGTTACTCCCCCCTTTTAGAGCTGGACTCCCAGTCTGGACAATTTGCCCTCGTTCCACTTTGCTTACTGAAGCGATGAACTCCTTCATCCACTCAAATTATCAATTGAACTGGAAGCGAGTCACACTGGGCACGCAGCCTTATTTTTTGCGAGAGCTTTGACAGAAGTGGTTATATAAATTTTTCTCTCCCCTCTGGGCTCAACATCACCAGGCCGGTCTCCATGGCAACATCTCACCCACCCCTCCCCACTCCTCCTCCCCCTCCCCTTACTTCCAAATGTGATGTCATAAGGCAGAGCAAGCCAAAACGGCTGCAGACTGTCACACGTCAGGGAGATCTCCCTTTGAGTTGTAGTTCTGTAATCTTATGTTGAGGAATCGACGCTGCACTTTGAGTCGCTCGCCTCCGATACCTTTCGGTTACGATAAGAGCGAGGAGGCAAGGCAGCTGAGATCCCCGGTAAGTGAGCGTGTGTGTACTTGTGCAGACCTTTCATTCACAGTGTCATTGGCATGTCTGTGTCGCTGTGGACTGAATGAAGCGTACGTCTTGGTGGTCGCTCACATCCATCCCTGTTTTCCCTAACGAGTCTCCCCAAAGCGTTAATCATTAGCATCTTAGTGTTAGGATGCTGTTCCCTCTATAGGGACCAATGTTTATGTGAATCAGCACTGAATCTGTCCAAAGTAATGTATTCTCTTAGTGATGCAGATGAGCTAATTTGAAATGTTAATGTAAGCATTTCTGTTTTGCACCTCTAGGACTGCTCCGCAAATCTAGAGCAGCTCTACTCCATTCCAGCAGGTAATGAAACGTGTCCTTAAATGTTTTCATTCAGGTGCCTTTTAATATTTAATGCCCTCTGTGGATTCTTTGAGTTGAATTAGAGTGTTACTTGGCTAGACATGTAGAGTATGTCTGTTTGCTTAGGTGATGATATGCAGATCCTTCTTGGAATGATCTTATTACTGTCTGTCCTGGAGGACTGTCAACCTCCTTCTCATTAATTACTGGTTTCTGTTTTAAGATTTTTAAGATAAATTCCTTTGTTCAGAGCAGAATCACCAGCAAGTGGTTGAGAGCACGATTATATGGGACAGTCAAAGAAGTCATTAGTCCTCCTGATTCATCATGTCATTCATCGCATGTGTTTACAGTGTAGCTACCAAACACTGATAGCCTGGTACATTTATGGTCAAAAGATGTTTTTCCATGGCAAAATAGTGTAGTGAATATAGGTATCTTCATTGCTGCGGCAGCGAATTTAGGTAATGGTTTGCATTTTTAGATTATTATCTGAATTAATTTAAATGATTATTTCCTGTCTGTAATTTTTCTAGATTTTATGGTTGCATTGATAATGTACAGTCTCAGTGGCAATAATAGTACTGTGATTTAACAGTTAATTATAATGACTCAAACAGAATTGTATGTTATTTAGAACAGAGGCAGGTAGAGATGATTTAATAGGGTATGTAGTCTAAAAATAGAGGACTCTGTGACCCCCTGAATGTGGAAGTTCTTAATCCTCACTCTATTTAAATTCAAACATTTCTCTCTGGATACTCATGATGTTCTAGCTTGCTGAGGTTGAAGCCTTTATGGTGTCCCCTGTACAGTATGAATGCCCCCGTTTTGTCTCGCTTTGAATTCTTCCATTCCTTGTTCGGCACTTAACTGTTCGTTCCAATTATCTTCCAGCTACTCCCCGGAAACATGCCTTGGCTGTTCCTTGACTGGTTTGTTCCCCTCTACCTGCTTGTGTCAGTCCTAGTTCTGGCGGGGTTTGGAGCTTGCCTGTACTTCCTCGAACCAGGACTGCAGGATGCACACAAGTGGAATGCCCAGGCACCACACCGACGTCCCCTGGTGGCCAATGATGAAAACTACAGCAAAGATGATGATAATGTTCTGATATAATAGTAAAGAAAAATGGCTAAATTTCACACACTGTATCACAACAAATATACTAGATGTTTAATAAACATTTAAGGAAGAATTTGTGTATATATATATTTATATATATATATAAATCCCGTAGTGGTATATTTCCTCTAGTTTTCCTACAGATTCATAAAACACCCACTAAGGTAGAAGGGGGATTAAAACCATCATCCCAGAATACATATCGATTTGACAAAAGAGAAATGATAGATAATATTAAAAATAAGAGCACTTGTGCCAGTCATATTATGCAAAAGTGAAATTTGTGATAAATATGTGTTTATATATTTTTGAATAGACTAGAAAAGCTCGTTTGTTATCTCGCAACTGTGTAGGGTTAGCAATGCTGACAGCAAAGCCAGATGGTACACAGCTTGCCGTCTCTGTAACACAGCTTTCTAGATGAGTAATGCAACACACAGCCATGTACATTGGAAGTTAATGCTGTGTTCTTGACTTTTAACTTTGTATTAAAAGATATTGCAAGATTTATGTATTTCAAAGTGAAAAAGTGTTCTGGATCACAATGTTGTACTAAAGTTGAAGACACAATGCAGATATACAAATAAAATCCAAATTATTTTATCACCGACACAAGTATGCCTATTTTTAGCAGAATGATGAAACGGTATTGTTGCTTTTCTGTTGAAGACTTGTCCCAGGTTAGGTTTTTAAGCTTTGCAAAGCCTTACCAAAATTTCATGCCTTTTCTGATTACACTTTGAGGCAAATCCTCTGTACTGTTTCTGTGCTCTTGGGACACCCTAAAGATCACAGAAGGAATTGAAATCTGTTAGTGCTGTGATCAAATTTGGTAAAACGATCCTTTAATGAAAGGGAAGGAGTCCAAGGACAGGTGCATACAAGGACCACAGATACATATACCAGGGGTCGTCCTAAAATTAACTCTCTATATCAAACCAAGAGCAGCTGCTATGATAGTTGCTCCAATATAGTCTAAACAAAGATAACCCTCCCCTAGTTGTTGAGGTTAATGGATATATATGGAACAGGAACAGTTGGACCAGTAACGTTTGCTATGAAGGTTTCTCCAGCAGAAGCTAAATACAAGTAATCTATCCGTAGTTGTTGAGGTCAATGGATATATATGGAACCAGAGGGGGGAGCAGTATTGTTCAATGCTGGAGTCTAAGTTAGGTGACTGCATAGATTTGTGTAATTGTCCTTCCACCAAATCTTTGTTTCCCCCTGTTTTCTTCAACATTAAGCCATATCCCAAGGGAAGTGTTCCAAATGCCTGTACCGTGAGCCATGTAGTACCATTCCATTTATCCCATTCCAGGCAAATGGGTCAGGCTTCTTCTTCTTCTGATGTCTCATCATTTGCAGATGTATGAACCATTACTTGAGATGTAGTGCTTGAAGACACCACTGGTGGTGCTGCACTGGGATGAGTCACTGATGTAGTACTCATAGTCACCACAGGGGGAGCACTCATTTTTTTTTGCTTCTTTTTTCCATTGTGGCCTTTAATTCTTCTGCCAGTGTGAGGCGCTGTTCTTTCCGATCCTTCTTCTGACCTTCAGCAGAGTGCAGCCACTCTGCTGGCTTAGGCGCTTGTGGAGGAGGGGGTGCAGGAGGGACAGGTGGAAGAGCAGTCAGAGGCGGGGCTGGTGTTGGAGGAGGAGGAGGAATAGGTGGAGTCACCCATGTGGTTGCTCCACCCCCCAGGGGTCGCTCAGCGTTTCCTGCTTTCGAAGCCATTAGCAGCTGATTTGTTAACAAAGCAATATGATTTTTATTCATCTCGGGTCTGCAGTTCGCTAACTCCCTCAATAAGGCATCTCTCTCCTCTTCTGCCCTCACACGCGCAACATCGGCACTCACACGCGCAGCTTGCTCTTCTGCCATCTCTCTCTCTGTCAGACAGCTGTTTGTTCTTTTCACGGACAACATCAGTTAAAGCAGTAACTTGCTCATGCAAACTTTTCTGTTCTCCATTAGTTTTTGCAATCACGTCTTTCCGACGATGAATCTGACCCAGCACAACAAGTGTCCACTGCAACCGTTTTTTCCCATCTCTGGGAAGACACCACTCGACTTCAAACACCAAGCTGTGTCCAGATATTCACTGAGATTTTCCATCATATACTCCACGTCAACATCTGGAGGCTCTACTCCTCCCTTCTCAGTAGTCGGCCTTGCAGAAACATTAATTATACTGCCAAATTTCCTAGATAAGGCCATGTTTAAAGGAACAGCCACAGATTATGAGCTGTAAACCCAAACAGTAAACGGCTGTTTTTTCCCGAACAGAAAAACGGGAAAACTCTTGCAAGAAAAATGCTGTTTCTATCCCGTTACAGCGTATAGTCGACTTATCTTTTTTGAGCTCACAACTAATACAGATATCTCAGAAATAGTTATATTTAGTTTTTCTTCATCAAACAACCCTCTGATCGGGTGTATGAGCAGGAGAGAGGTTATTTTCAACCTTCAGCCAATGACAGGAGAAAGATCTTACCTCAGTTGATTTGCGCGCTTCATTGTTGTCTTCAGTAATCCAGCATTAGTTAGTCTCTCGGCCTTGTCTCTCACCGACCCTGTTTGTGACGCCAACTGATAGATTTCTTCAATGAAACCTCAGGTTCTTTTAGTTGAATGATGAGGCAGGTTCCTTAAAGCTTAAGCAGACTGAAGATACAGGAAGATGTTTCACACGGCCGGTTCAGTGTCTGTCTGTGTCTGTCTCTGCCCCCCCCCCTGAGGGAAGCAGCCCCTTTATCTATGGTCTTCGTTCAGACTCCTGGAGCCGGGGGGTCAGACGGCCTTGGTGAGAGTAAGTTGTATGACAGGCAAAGAACACGATGAGCGAGCAGCAAGGACAGAAAGAAATATAAAAATAAAAATATGAAAGCTATAAATTGGTGAACTAAATTAACATAATTAAATAACTACAAATTAACTAGGGAAATCCCTCAGCAGACACTTATTCAGAGCGCTGGACAATCAAGAAAGCGGGATCAGTCAGTCCCCGGAGCAATTGGGCTTAAGGGCCCAACGGTGACATCACTCTGCTGGCCAGGGAATTTGAACCAGCAACCTTCTGATCATGAATTCTACACCGCAGAGCTGCACACCACCAAATCTGCAATTTCTCTGCAGTTTTGAGATGTCCGTTATTATGTTTGTTTTGCATTGCACCATCTGCATGTTAAAGTTCAAACCTTTACAAAGGTACATTTACTAAACACATTACTGTTTTTGTAAAACTTTTCCTAAGACGATATTCTGTCCTTTCTTTGACGGCTTTCTACAAAAAATACCCACTGCCCATATCCTTATTTTGTTTACTTCTTCCTTATCTGTTATCCCTTATTTCCCCAAACTGCTTCTTGCCATCCCTCAGTGTCCCTGATGAACAAACCCAGTGTCAGTGGGCAGGGAGATGAGCGTGGGTGACTTCAACAGAGCAGCCATAGATCAGAAAAATGGAGGGAATGCACTGGGAACCCACTACTTCCTGATATCCACTGTCCTTCTACTCACTTGTTTCTCCACTTAATAGGAACACAGACACGGATTCCCAGGTTAGTCATATATTTTCTTTTATCATCTACAGAGCTAATTTTCAAAGGTGACATTTTCTAAATGTGTGAGGAACCTGAGGTGTGGTTGTAGTAGGGAAAAGGGGCCAACAGGCATCACTAATCCATCCAGGCATCTTCCCACTGCATATTCCAGTCAGGCTTGCAGTGTATCCTATCCCGAGCATCACTGCACACAAGGCTGGGATAGTCCCTGGATGGATTAATAATATACCTTGCAATCACATTTGAAGAACAATGTATATTTTCTCATCCGACACTTAACTTCTTCCATTATACTTTTTATTCCTCCACTCAGATGATGTGGTATGTGTTTTTACAGTCAGCTTAAATACATTTGTGTTACCTAATGTGTGATTTATGTAACAGTGGTGCAACGTGTCGCACTGTCCTGCTTACTAACTTCTGCAGTGCACATGTCTCAAAAGAAAATCCATTATTCTTTGGCTTTCAGTCTGTTTTATTATGTCTCATCCATTCATTTTTAATGTCATGCTTTGTTTATTGTTCCATATCCGTTTCTCCTTGCTCGTTTTTATGTTGAAGTCGCCCTACAATGAACAGTGACAATCTAGAACACACAGGGATCCCTTCATCCCAAGTTCCTGCCCTCTCCAGTCCTCCTGGGACACCTCCATGTTTGCCTCAGCTTCCTCCGCTGTCCTCTCCTGTCATCAAAAAGAGGCCCATTCAGATCACTTCCTTTGACAGCAAGGGTCTCCCATTGCAGACGTTGAATAAGCCGCCGTCAGTCATCGCGAGGTATGTGCCCCACCACAACACCAGATCATTATCGGCACACAGATACTCATGTACTGTATTTTATTTATTTGAGTTTTGCTTGTGTTTTTTTTTTCCTTATTGCATTTTCTACCCCTAGCAAAAAGTCCGCTCCATCCATTTCCATTGCATCTGAGTCCTTATCATTTATTTTCCATCCGTCGATTTCAAAGCCAAGCACAAAGCTTTCGAAACCAACTTGGGGGATGACTAGGTCAAGGCAGACAAACAAATCTCCTGACCTGCCTGGTCTAGCTTCCACTCTGGATCGTGATGTTGGAAGGAAAAAGGTTAATGCACCTGTCACATGTAAACCCAAAACAAACTCCGCCACGGTGATAAGTCAGAAAAGGCTGCCCTCAGCGGACAGGAGCCAAGAGTCGATATTAAGTCTGCTTCCATTTCATATGAATCAGGGCCCTACAAGTCTTACTCACAGCGAAAGGGGCCGAGGGGGACAAAGGTCCAGGCAGCTTTACAAATCTCCTGGCCAAAGGACAGCGAAGAACCAAACTGCTATGGCAAACTTTACCAAACCATGGCCTAAAGAGAGTATGCAGAGTTCTAATTCTAATCAAAACAAGATCATACCTAAATATTTATATCCTAATCAAAAATATACAAGGGAAATTAATGCCTTGCAAAACAGACCTCAGGATTCTGGGTTATATCAAGCAGAGTTGGTATTAAAGAAAAGTGCTTCCAAATCTAGCTTCAGCATCTCACCTACCCAAAGGGAATGTTCGAAAGAGCCGGACCCTGGTAGAAATTCTGGGTTGAAAAACAAGGACCAACACTCATTTTTAAGGTTTCAAGGGCTCAGAACTTCAGCCAGTAAAGGACATGATTTAAGTCTGGCCTATTCTCCGTTTAATGAACATAAAATTGCACTGGAGTGCCCTGTTACCAGGGAAATCCCAAAGTACGCACCACAGCAAAAGAATATTCCAAACAGACCTTTGCCGCCACCCCCTCATAACTTCAAAGTCTACCTCAATCCTCCTGTGCCTGAATCCTTACAAGGAAATCATGGAAAACAGGGATGTGTTCTAACTGGTCATGATTACCAGCATCGACATATCAACAATGCAGACAATTCGGGAAACCTCAAACTGCTCAATCAGAGGGCCAAAGGCGACACACCAACTCGCACTGATAACACAGAATTCTGCATAGAAAGTCAACAATACGGGGAAGCGTGCCGAACTCCTTGCCTTCCTCCATCGAAACTGGGATCTCTTCCCACCTCCAGCAAAATGCTTTTGCTATCAAGAAAAAAGCCGGAATCGTTTAAGAACCAACTGTGTCAATTTTCTAGCCAGAGTAACAATCCCAAGCGTGGATTTTTATCCCCAGGTATTGTAAAAGAAGATGAGAGTGAAAATACTGTCTATAGAACAAGTAATATAAATGTACGTAACTATAGTGAGAATCGGCTGAAACAAGCGTATCCTATCGACATGTGCCCCACTCGCAGCACTGTGGTTTATCAACATGATCTCTGTGACGTTTTACACACAGTCGCTGCTTCTGAGGCGTCTTGGAGGGAGACATGCACCGAGCTGAATCCAAGACCTTCGAAATGTTTGACAGACCTGAGTAAAGACTCTAACCTACATTTAAGATCAATTCATGCTGGCATTAAAAACAGCATACAGGTATCCAAATCCAGAGCTGGACCACAGGACTCGGGGGGAGGGAAGAGCTCAGAAATTGATATGTTGCCCCCCAACAAATTGCCAAATCCATCAAATAATGAGGAGACTGATTTGTGCAGCTGCCTTGAGAATGAACCAATAAACATTGCAAAACTGGGCCTGCTGCCTGGCGTCGGCCAAGAGTCTCCTGTTATACCATATGCTCAGAAAACAGGCCTGCAGAAGAAAGAAGGACGAGGTCATGACCGTAGCACCTTTCTAAAGCGTGGATTGGCCTTATCTTCATCAGTGGTTTTAGGTACCCCTGAAGACGCCAAGCACTCTGCTGAATGTACCGTAACAGGTGAGTGCAGGAAATTGTGATGCAAATAGCTAAAATTTATTGAAAATATATTAATTGGTTAACGCTATATAGAGGACTGGATGCAGACGCGAAGAATGTCGAAGGCAGTCACATTCAAACATTTAAGCACATGACTGTAGTTGAGCGAGATGACCAGACTGCGTGTGTCTTATCACCTTGGCTCCAGGCAGACAGAAACAGGGAGAGATAAAAGAGAGATGAGGGGCAGGAAGTGAAGGAGGGAGGAGCAAGACAGAGATACTCAGAGGGAACTACAGACTAGACACTCGAATGTCGATGTAGGTCGCACTCAGCAAACTGTACACTACCGGCGAACAACAACCTTGTAAGTACTAAACAATTTCTCTTTTAGTGTCACTGTACTGTACTTAGCAATATCTACAGAGAAAATAGTTTGAGCAAAATGCCCTGATTGCTGTTCTAATTTGAAATTAATTTTAAACTAAATTAACACATGCGTACACACGCACACATATAACCCGAACCATAATAACAGAAACCAATAATATTATTTTTGATCGGGACATGGGAACCAGGGGTGGCCATGCATTTGCCATGCGTACTCCCCAACATTTAATTTCATCCACCCAATAAAAATACCTTTTTATTTAAATTCTAAAGTTGTTCAGCGCCCCCCTCCCCCGCCCCCAATATCAAACTCTATACTACGCCGTTGTCAGTAGAGCGCAAATTTAAACGGACCTTAGATTCATTAACGACAAATAAACCTGATGTGTTTAGCGGAGGGCTGCCATTGTTTTGAACATGCGCGCTGCATCCGTCGGTCCTCTCTCCTCCCGTTGCTTTGACAACCAAAAAAAGGGGGCGGGGGGTTAGTAGGTGGAGGCTTGTCGACTGATCAGAGAAAGAGAAGAGAGAAAGGTGGCTGGTCACATGACCCTCATCGTAAACCGTACATCCTCTGTCCATCTGTATTAAACATCATCCGTATATTTGTTATTTTTGGGCAACAGGAAACACACATTCCTTTTTTGTAACAGTTTTGGGGTAAGCGCTCGTAACGAACAATTGGTAAGTCGCTAAGCAGTGAAAAACATTGTTAGCAATGTAGCCGACAGATTAATACTCTGAAGTGCATTGTTTTATTCCAGTTGTAAGACAATAGATAGCAAAGATATACAGTATGGGAGGGTTTACAGGGCACGCGGTGCATAATGCATGAATGCATGAATGTGGACTGGTATGATCAAAATAAGTGTCCGTTGTGCACATGCAGTGTGAAATTTGCCAACATGTGATGTGTTGTATTATTAACGGGGAGTAATTTAATGTCAACCTTTAATGTCGAAAATCAATCAAGAGTTATTAGGAGTAAAGGGTCAAAATACCAAAAAGGTGCAGACAGCATAACGCGAGGAAGGCAGTCGTTAAAACACTGCATATGCAATACGGACTAGAATGAGATGTGAACGATACCTGAAGGACATTTCTTTGCGATAACATAAATCAGAAATGTCACTGAACTATAAACTAGCGTCGCGTTGTACAGATTAACGATGCTAACGAGGTGGTACATAAAATAACGGGATTGCTGCTTGGTTGCTGAAAATGACCGAAACATTTAGTCACCACAGCATTTGGCGTGAAGTGCATTTTTAAGTGTGATATGAATCCCATAGATTTTATATGTATCTGTACATGCATTTGCGTTTATGTAATCCCGTTTTAATGTGACGTGTGGCCACATTTACGTCAGGAGACGTTCATAAACCGTAAATCAAAACACTATCCAGCAAGAACTTTCTCTTCAGTTAATCATATTGCTTTGTGTCCAGCTAATGCCCGATTCCAGTTTCTGATCATCCACTCCACCCATTTTACCTGCAGATATGTCTGAAATTGTGCCTCCAGAAGTCAGACCCAAACCCGCAGTCCCTGCTAAACCTACTGGGATCTCATCAGTCCATGGCTCTCAGGGCTCAGGTGTCGGGGGTCAGGGGGCAGGTGGAGGGTCCTCGCTCTTGGGATATATTGGGATTGATACCATCATTGAACAAATGAGGAAGAAAACCATGAAGACTGGCTTTGACTTTAACATCATGGTAGTGGGTGAGAAAGATTTACTGTGAAAATTCTATGACACTCTGGAGTTAATGCTTAAGTGTTTTTTTTAAGCCAGTAAGTGTATATTGTGTCTGTAGGTATTTTAGATTAGGCATTTAGACATTGTATGTAATTAGAATATCCTAAGTGCTATAATTCAGTATGTTATGTTTCAGTATGTAAGGATTCAGCATTATAACAGCATTAAATCTATAGATGATGTGGTTTTTTTTGTGGTTTGTATAATAAATTTTTGAAATCGTAATAAAACTGCCTGGTCAATAGCATTGAAAGTAAATCATAATTATGTTCATTTGGTTTGATCTTAAATAAACAACATACCTCCAGCATAATAAGGGGTGCAGTTGTTAACGACATGTGATTTGGGGGTCATAACGGACCCCACTGCTGCATTTTACCTGAATTACACCCTCTGTGACACCCAGCTGTACAAACTGAAAGGCATTCAGGTGCATCAGCTGATGTCTTAACCCTTTCTACTTGCCTCTAGGCACCAGTGGCCTGGGGAAGTCCACCTTGGTGAATACGCTGTTCAAATCTCAGGTCAGCAGAAGGAGCACAGGGTGGAGTCGTGACGAGAAGATCCCCAGGACTGTGGAGATCAAAGCCGTGTCCCATGGTAAGGAAAGGGTTCAGGCACTGGTGTCAGAGAAAACCCTGTGGGAGCAGTTACTGCAAAGATAAAGAAAGTGCAGAGGTTTGAGGCCTTGACTTACATTCAGTAGGTTGCATGTTCAAGTCCCAAAATGTGCTTATGGCCTGAAGGTGTTTTCCCTGACCCATTTTAATAACATCTTATATGGTTATGAACACAACACGCAGGCTGCCGCAGCAGTAAAGATCTTTGACTCTCAGTTGTCAATAATTTATGTGTGTGGCTCAGCAGGTTAGGACATTGTGCCCATGACTGGAAGGTTACTGGTTTAAATCCCGCTGTTGGCTGAGTGATGTCACCATTAGGCCCCCAGTCGCACCAGGGACAGTCTGCCCCCTGCCTCCTCAACCATATGTTGCTCTGGATGAAAGCATCTGCTAAATAAATGTAATGTTATACTGCCTTAATTTACATATTTTATATGATAAATTTCTAAGTAAATTGTCTATTCCCAAATTTGTAGAGCCATAAGAATTCTTAATCAATGGGCTTGAATTTGGGATTTAAGACCCTTGAATTTGGGATTGAATACCCTTGAATTTGGGTATTTGGGATTGAATACCCTTGAATTTGGGAATTTGGGATTCAGGACCCTTGAATTTCCTCTCTGAGTTGTCTTAGCACAGTAGTCCTTCTCACACATGCATCGCACATGTTCAGTCTGCTTAATCTGTGTTGACTCCCTTGTAGAAGCATTTCTATAAAATGTAAATTGGATTGCTTTGTTTGAGTTTGAAAGTCAGATTCTATTAGGTTTATATTTAGTGCTGTAAAAGCTCTTCAGAGGATTGTCCATAACATATTTGTTAAGTTTCATAGTATGACCTGAGTTGTGGACTTGTCTGTAAATACGGACAGTACAATGCGGTATATTTATTTGGGGTTTTTAAGATTTCCAAGAGCTTCTGCTTTGATAATCAATTTCAGGTACTTTACCTTCCGGAATTCAACAGTCCTGACTGAAGCATGTGGAAGCTGCAGCAGGGTCTTCTAAATATGCACCAAAGATGAATATCAAGCTTCATAACAGGCCTAGTGATTTCGGCATAGTCCGCCTCTACAATGCCCTTACGATGGTATAGTCTTGGCCACAGCTCTTCTTCAGCCCTCCGCAATATGGCACTGAGATTCTGCTGCCTGGGCACCACAGGCCCCTGTCACATGGCCAAGTGTGATTCCTGTGGCTCACGGTTACTTTAGGCCCTGAAACCCTAGAGGACACCTTGTTAGCCATTTTAAAAGTCCAATATTTAGCACCCTCTCCTATTCTGTATAGGAGGCCCAAGTGTGGGGATATCAAACAGACAACTCTGGCCACATGGTTTGACAGTAGCCTCAGAGCCTGGCTAAATGCTAAAGGCTACATCAAAAGAACCAGGCTGTCAGTGCTGATCAGGACTTTTGCCATTTACCCTGGGCATCTGTGAGAGTTAATTGTGAGTCTGTGTAGTTGCCCACAGTAATTCTATCCTCTACTGTTGTGCCATTCTGGGACTGCAAAGCTTTAGTGTTTTTGTTTACTGGCAGCTGTAAAGTGAGAAGTCCAGGAAACACTCTGAGAAGCTTGTATGTCACCCACCCAAATGCACGGCTGACATCAGTGGTTATTTCTCTGTTCTCAGCTGCCTCAGCTGGCTTGCAAAATGGTCTTAAGCAGCTCTTTCCTGGAGCTAATCTGCACATTTTCGATGTCATACGATGTGATTCTGGTCAAAAACACTGTTTTATTTTATGTCTCCGTCAGTGTTTCTGAGACTGGTCCCCTAGACAGTCCACATTTTTGCTCCCTTCCAAGCTGTCTGGCAGGGAGCAAAAACATGGACCGACTGAGGATCCATGAGGAGTGGGTTGAGAAACACAGATTGACATCATTCTACAGACCATACTGGTATCTCTTTTCCCTCAAAGACGCCTTTTCATCCTAACTGAGATCTTACAGATACAGTGTGCTGCCTAAATGGGACTTGATGTGGTCTTGGAGTAGAGTAGAATGATGATGCACTTATCAGTTACCTCAGTTTTATTTACCTCACAGCTCAATTGTCAATTTGACAAATAAAAAGACTGTTTGGAGGAATTCCAAGAATTGTTCCTCTGTGTTTGTTCCTCCTCGAGTCTGTGAGTGCGGCGCCTTGAAGGTTTTCTTCAGGCTTAACCTAACCACTGTAAAGTTTTCATACATGTCCTAATTATTTTATATCATCTGTACCCCTGAGATTTCAGGTATTGTAACTTTTCTCTTTTTTCATACCAATATCCATTCCAAATGTAATATAGAACTGAAAAGTCTAGCAAAAGGAGGTTATTTGTCTGATAAACATGTAAAGTGAATTCCTGTTCATATTTACAAGGTCCAGTCTGTAGGACTAAACACCCTTAATGCTTATTACTTTGACTTGTCTGGGCTGTTGACCTTTGACCTTTGCTTGATCTGGCTCCAGCCCATTTTCTTCCGAAACGTTTACTCAGGTCGAGCCTATATTGATGTCCTTCTTTTAGCTGCTACCTTGCTGTCTACCCTTCATTCAACTTGCTGGAATAACTAAGCAAGAGGCAGTGATCAGTGTAAACGTGCTATTCCTCTTCAGGATAAGTGACTCTTAAGATTGATATCCAGGCGCCTACTCAATTTGAGTTGCCTCCGGCACACATAGAAATAGGGGAGTCTCTTCAATAGGTGTTCTGCTTTTATGGAGGATGTCCTCTTATAATTTCTGCTTCCATTCTGGGGTCAGTTGATCTATATCATTCTCAAGGAGTAGGTATCCCCACAAAAGTCTCTCATGGGATTTAAACTGGAAAATAGAGGAATGTTTATGGACAATTATGATATATTTCTATGTTATATATTATGAATAATTACATATATTATTAGACTTATTATAATAAAATTTTAATCTTCCAGTGATCGAAGAAGGTGGAGTGAAGATGAAGTTGACAGTAATTGACACTCCAGGCTTTGGAGACCAGATCAACAATGAAAACTGGTAAGAGTGCATTTTTTTAAGAGTGAGATCAAAAGGAGAACGAGTGACCAGCAGACATGGCAGACAATTAGCACTCAGCTCGATGCTGCATATGGTCACACCAACTGGATTATGGGTAAAATAAGGTAAACATTAATCCATGAGTTTCCCTGTGGGATGTTTTACTGAATCTGTAGCTCAGTATATAATGAATCATTGAGCGCTGAATGTATTAATGCAGAGTGTGTGACTAGATTTATCAGTTTATTTTTAACTGCAATTCTCTCACTGTTCCTTCACCTCGCAGCTGGGATCCCATTTCAAAGTACATCAATGAGCAATATGAAAAATTTCTGAAGGAGGAGGTTAATATTGCTCGCAAGAAACGCATACCGGACACCAGAGTGCACTGCTGCCTCTACTTCATCTCTCCTACTGGACATTCGTAAGTGTAAACTAAATGCATCCTCTTAAATTGCCTTTTTATTAATCCAAACAAGCTCCAGTAGGAGCCCATGCCTTTATGACATCACTGTGAGCTCACATTTAGATGATGACATCACAGGATATGTCTATTCAGCCTGCACCTGGGGAAAACTCATTATGTGGGAATTGCATACAAAATATATTACAGCACGATTGGTTGAGATAGGCAAATACAGCATACAGGAGACAGTAAAAATGTCCCTCTCCTCACAGTCTTGTACAAAACTCCAGGTCTTTGGGACACTATTAGAGCAGAGGCCATTTGAACAGGACTACCCCCAAATATACCTAGTAGAATGAAAGAACTTAACAGTTGTTTTGAAGGTTACCAGTTATGCATCCAGGAGGTCTTCAGAGTAGCATTGCTATTGTCATCAGCTGCTGTCACGTTGGTGTTGACACCTGGCAGCCATCTAGATTGCATTCCTCCAGAACACCTCGTATCCTGTCTGGGTATACAGCCTTCCTAGTGGCCCTTTCATTGCTGTGATGATTGAGTCCATGCACCTTGTGGTTTGGTTGTCCTCTTCCTCCGTTACCTTAAAGTTTGCCTTAATACATTATGGTCTTTTCTAATGTGCAGTTTTCTCATAATATGCCCAAAATAGGATAGTCTAGTCATTGTGTTTCAAGTGAAAGTTCAGGCTTGATTTAATCAAGAATACACTTGTTTACAGTACCTTGCATTGCACAGTAGTCTTAAGAGTCTGTGATAGAACTAGAGTTTAAAGTCATCAAAGGTACCTGTTTCTTCACAATCCTGCTTTCACATCTATTCAGAAAGGCACTTGACTTAAATTGTTTGCTAAAATATACAGTTATATAAATTAGTCAAGTTTTGATATGGATATTTTCAAAATAGCTACAATTGCTACAATATGTGCATCTTCAGGTTTTTCTTGCATCTCATGTTGCCTGATTGTACAGGCTTCAGCATCCATATTGTTGTGGAAGTGTGACACACGGGCTCCTTCTGTTGAGCTGTGTGTAATGTCCAGATCAGTGACTGTTGATTTTTGGCATCATCCTGTCATCTTCCGACATGTCATTGATTGGTTCTCGTTCATTCTCACCTACCTCTAGTCTGCGGCAGCTGGACACAGAGTTCATGAAGAATTTGAGTCGCATGGTGAACATCATCCCGGTCATTGCCAAATCCGACACGCTGACAGTGGAGGAGAAGATTGAATTCAAACAGAGGGTTAGGCAGCCAATGAGAAGCCAGAAATACTAATATATCAATTCATTGTTAAATATATCTGACATGTTCATGGCTCATATCATAACATAATTGATAATACAACAAATGTCTTCTTTTCATAGGTAAGAAAGGAACTGGAAATATCTGGCATAGAGTTTTACCCCCAGAAAGAGTTTGATGAAGACATGGAGGACAAGAGCGACAATGATAAGATCAGGGTAATAAAAAAAATCTTTTCTTTGAGTGAATTTATGAATTTTCTTTAGTTCTCTGCTCTTAATTTAGCATCTTCTCTGTAAAATCTCCCCAGTGTCACATCATTTCTTCCCATGCTATTCTGTAGTAGCGTACTCCTGCGTTACTTTACCTTCCCATGCTATTCTGTAGTAGCGTACTCCTGCGTTACTTTACCTTCCCAGATGTATGACTAGCTTTTCGTTGACTTGGCAGGAGGCCATGCCCTTCGCAGTGGTGGGCAGTGATAAGGAATACCAGGTTAATGGTAAACGGGTCCTGGGCAGGAAGACGCCCTGGGGAGTGGTTGAAGGTCAGTTCTTAACAAGGTTTTTTTTTTCTCTAACCCATCTGCACAAATTCTGTAATGTTTGGTTCTGAAAAGAGCATTTGTGACATCTGAATGACAGAAACAGGATGCCTTTGTACATTATTCCCACTCAGGAATAAGTAGCAGATGTGTAAGATACAAAATTTAAAAAAATCTTTCATGTGAAAATATAGAAATGCACAATATTTTTTTTGGGTAGGGCTGAATTCTTGCTGCTAATGTGTTATTTATCGATTTGGATTGTGATTTTACTGTCATACACATGACTATTTAATACTAAAGTTGCTTTTTTTGCACAAAATATCCTGGTGTGTATTACTGCTGATTTTGTGATCACTTTCAGTTTTCAGCTGATTCAGTGTGTTGCATGCAGTAGACGGTATTTTCCCGTTTCCTTTCATTATTAGTGGTTATTTACTTAAGCAATACCCACACTGTGCAACTATTCTCTTGGTGCTCAGATGAAAATAACCATGCAAAGAAGTCTAGTTAGCCAACCAGTTGGGTACCAAACAATTTCAACATTGTATTAAGGTCACAGAGAATTTAGATGAGGTTCCATTATCCTGGTACATAAATAGCTTCTGAACAGGGAATAAATATTATTAAATGTTGACAGGAGAGTAAATTTCCTTCTTGGTTATGCTTGTAGTCTTGTATAGAAGTTGTATACACTACAAAACTGTCTCCTTAGCGACTTCCTACTGCCATGACAGTCATTACAAGGAACTGGTAATGAGACAGATTGCACATATGAAGAATGCCTTTCTTAGAAAGCACTTCATTAATATCATTTCATCAATGTCAAAGATGCTCCTGAGCAAAATCTAAGCTTAAAGAGACATTTCTTTGTCATGACTCAGGTTAAGTCTAGTCATTTCAAGACTTCATAACTTCATTTTGAGTTGAGATAATGGCGTAGTTAGCAAAAAGCTGTATCTGCGTGCGTGCTTGTGTCTGTGTGTGTACATCTTAAAATGGAGGGAGCACAAGATGTACAGATGGAAAATGAAGCTTCATTTCATTTCAAACATCAGCTCAGTCTATAAGTAATTACTGCATTCGGTGGCGCAATGGTTAGAGATGTTGCCTCCCACAAGAGGGTCCTGGGCTCGGTCCTGGGTCCTTTCTGTGTGGAGTTTGCACGTTCTCCCCATTTTCATCAGGGGCTCCACTTTTCTCCCACGGTCCAAAAGCGTGCAGGATAGGTTGGTTGGTGAGTCTAAATTGGCCTTGTAGTTGTGTGAGTGTGTGTGCCCTGTGGAGTGCTGGCGACTGGCCAGGGTTGGTTCCTGCCTGTGCCCGTTGTTCCCAGGATGTGCGACCACAGTTGGGATTAAGTGGTTTCAGAAAATGGATGGATAGGTTTGTGTCATCATAGGATTCCCTGTTAAAGTGTTTATCCTTATTCATGTGTAAATCAAATGATCATCACATTAATCACGTAGCTTCCCTCTGTTTATTATTTGTAACCTTTTTAAGCTTCTGAACTCTTACAGTACTTTTGCTGTGTATTTATACTAGTAATTCATTATCGCTTTCTTTTGTTTTGCAGTTGAAAATCCAATTCACTGTGAATTTGCCCAATTGCGAGATTTCTTGATCAGGTGAGATAATCAAAAAAGAAATATTTACAAAAATGTTTCCAAATTCTCATTCAGATTAAATATTTATCTGATGTACAAAGGTCTGATGGGGAACCAAACCATGTGAGATGGCAGTGGAACATTGAATAATAAGATTTCATTCAGGCTTCTGCATTGAAGGACCAATAAATTATAACGGGGCGAAGATAGGTGATTTAAGCGTTTTACTGATGTCTTTTGTGTTGTAGGTCTCACCTGCAAGACCTCAAAGAAGTGACTCACAATATCCACTATGAAACATATCGTGCCAAGAGGCTCAATGATAATGGAGGCCTTCACCCCATCTCTACTGCCCCCTCTGGTGACACACAGGAGAGCAACTTGTGAGTGAGGGTGTCAGAGAGCATGTAGTGCTGAGGTACAGAAACGGTGATAGAAGTTTGTATTGTGATGCCATCACTGCATGCTCAGAGGGTTTCATTCCACTTAAATGTTCTGTACCTATATTTTTACTACAATACACAATCTCTCCTCTCACAACCTTGCCAAATGCACATGAACTGACCTCTTAACAAATGGAGACAGATTGTAAATCTATAAAAATGGACTACTTGGTCTCATATTTACATTAACCAAATGTAATTTCCCTCAGTCAATTGAAACTCTTTTTAGTAAGCCATGGAAAAATTCCATTACTTACTGTAAGCTACTGCAGTATAGTATAATCATTCCAATAAATCTGTGAAGTGTATTACTAATTTGTCAGTTAACTGAATGCACAAAAGAAATCTCAGAGCTTGTGTTACACTGCACACAGCAAAAGTTAATTCAACAGTAATAGTGTTGAAATAATAATAAAAAAACTGCTTATTTGTGTACAGATCGCCATAGTAAGTACTGGAATTAAAATATTCTGATCTCTGTATATTTACAGGAAATTTTGTTTAAGGTCAGCCCTGAAAGAATTCTTTCACAAAATAAGGTTTTCTCCTAAGAATTTGTACAATCAAGTTATATGTATATATGAGAGTGAGTGTAAATCTTGTCTTTTGTGTCTGAGAAGTACTTTGTCATGTAACAGGTAGTTGTATAATTTATTTTGTGAAAAGTATAATAGTAGGTTTCTTGGACAATGGTACAGGACGGTATTAATGGTAATACAAGTTTGGGGAAATTGTACTTTATAGCTAGATTGTCTGTATGTGTGCATGCAAGAATGTCAATGAATTGTTTCATTTTTACTATTATTATTTTGTACATATTATATATTACCACCAACAGATTTTTATGAATCAATTTAATGATTTGTAAACTTTCATTCTTATCAATACATAGTTGGTTTATATGAACATTTTAATAATTGCATTACCTCTGTATCACACCATCTATATATTATATATTAATATAATATCAATATCTTAAGGTAGATGTAACATAAGAATTTCATGTTTTTTTAGTTACCTTTTGTTTGTTACATGTCATACCAGATCGATACTGTTGTAATTTACTGCATTGTGATTTCAGTATTATATTTTCTTTATATATTGAAACATAATTTTATTTTTAAACGTTTGCCAATTTTTCCATTCATTTTCTTGCTCTTTTTATCAACCCAATTGTCCTATACTTGCCAAATACCACGTGCTAAATGAAAACCAAGAACTACAAGGATAAAAAGTATGTTTTGTGTGTGAATGGTATTGCTATTGTTGCCATTAATGTTGGTATGATTATGATTTTTGTAAATTAAAAATAAATCTTGCACCTCTTTAATGACCTTTACTGTTTGAGAAACTGATTAATTGTGCTATTACTGTAGGTATAGGGCAACTTCTATGATTCCGCTCTTTAACAATTAATGTGAAGTGTCATATATAAGATCTGACATCAGTTATATTGATGTCTTTTAATATGATTGCAATAAAAAAAAAAAACCTGCTGCGCCGGAGCTTCAGCAACATGAACTGTTGAGCAACGTGATGACGTAGCGGATTGCACAGAGAAGAGGCTTCAGGAAGGAGTGCGGTGCAGTTTTAGCGATAGGTTTTTACCACTTTAATCCAGAACATGACGCTGAATAGAAATCACTCTCCAAATGGTGGTATTTTAATTAATAACGGCGAAAGGTAGGTTATAGTAGTAATTCGTACCGGTTTTTTTTATATCGTATGTGCAACTACTTTGGTATTTATAGTTAGCCAAAAGCATAATAAGTCGCATAAATAATAATAGATTGACTAAAAGAAGTAATTTGGTTTAAATCTTCCCCTTGCCCGGTTTGGTTAACACGGAATTACACGTTTGCTGGCTATTTTGGGTGTAAACGACCAATAAGGATTCTCAAACGAATAAGTTTACATTAGCTACTTTTCGCATTTATTTAGAGCAGTATTTGTTTGCACATTAACCTTCTCTTCCAAATACATTAATTAAACAGTTTCGTTTGTTGTCTTAAATTTGATGGAATTGCTTTGTGTTGTAATTGGCCTAAATAAGACCTTACTTTCAACAAATACCTTACTGGTGGTTTAACGACTTGTTTTTGTTCATGCCTTCCGTCTATTGGTTCTTTGAATTCTGTCAATCTGATATTATTTGTTAGCCTATTGGCTATTCCAGTTTACGTCTCTCTAATCGTATTTGTATTGGTTCAAATTATTCCCGGCCTTGGCTGAACATGCGGAAACGCCTAGTCACTGACTTACGGTTAGTTTTGAGTTAAAAATTTAGGTCAAAACATAAGGACCGTGGTGGAGTAAACTGATCTGACATCAGTTTTGACGGATGGAAAGTAACCGGATTATCTGATTAATAAATAAACTCGTCAATGAGTAATGTCATGAGACAGAGCTAGCCCAGACATTATTGTATTGTATTATTTTTTTTTAATTCAGACTTTGTCCTTAGTTTAAGAGTTGTTTGGTGTTAGTTAGAATTCGGCAGTACGATCGAAACTGATATTTCATATACGCAAGCAGATGTGTGTGTTTTTATGTAATATTTTCCATACTTAAACCTTTAGTGGGCCAACTGCTATCTTTCTTAGGAATACTGCCCGGTTGTGTAGCCTCAGCTAGCATGCATAGGGGCATTTTTTTCCGCTATCGTACTAAGGGAGGGTTGCCAACTCTCACGCGTCTGGCGTGACTCTCACGCTCTCGGACTCTCTTCTCAAATCTTACGGCAAACCTATATTATTCCATTATAAACCTAACATTAGCTACATCAAACGCATTGGGGCAGTTTGCAGACCCTGCAGACTATGTACAACGTAATAAAACTCTTACATACGTGTAAATGTGTGTGCAGAGTCTCGAAATGAAAATCTCACTCCAGCCAGCTGACCCAACTTGGCAACCCTGACTAAGGTTGATCTACAAAAGGGAGCCCGTGCTGGGGATTTGGCTCCAAATCGGTGTTAGTTTAATTGTGTAATTAATTACATAAATTAGGTAATGAATATGTATTTCATATTGCATGTTTTGATTCGTGTTTTATGAGTGTTCAATTTGAAAACAAGTCAGACACCAGCTTACTGTGAAGATCCTTTGAGAGTATTGGATACGAACTGAATCCATAGCTTTTTCGTTGTAGATATATGGGGTCCTGTTTTTAATGAAGTATGAGATCTGGAAATACATACTTTCAGCTTAAAGTGTCATGACCTTGTGATGTGTTAAGTTGCCATCTCGCCTGTATGCTGTAACACCAGCTGATGACCGTTTTAAGTTCCTCTGGAATGTGGGTTACTGTGGCTGTGTTAGTGACGGCTCACAGTCTTCTGATTCTAAAGATGCTGTCATCAAGGCCGAAGTCCACAGTGACCCCTATCATATGTCTCCTTGACAATTATCTTTTCTCTCATATGGACTAAATATTTAAGGACAACCCACAATAAATCTCTGTTGACATTATCAGTTACTTTTTGCAGGCCCACAAATGCAAAAACAAGTCCCTGTTGTATCCAGTGGTTTTCTTGGACCCGTCGATGTACTAATGTTGTCACACTGCACATTGTGAATGTCGAATAAAAAAGCTTGGATACTGAAGAAACTAAACTCCTGAGCAGGACTGGCTAGCAACCATTGTCAGTTCGCAATCCCTGCCATCAAGGGCATCACTGCGTTTTCAGTATCGCGGGGGACAGGGTCAGATCCATTAAGTAACTGAGTCAAATCCATCCTCTCGCATAACCCTGCATGACGTCATGTATTGTACCTATGTACAGTTTAGGCTGCCCGCTCATTTCAATATTGACTGTATATACAGTAGTCTTTGTTTTTAAGTATATTCATTCTATGAAATAGTCGGCTCAAAATTTTTTCCCCTCAGTCATTAGGTTAGATGAGAACTGAACTCTCCCAACAAATTCATTTGTTTTTAAAAGCAAAGTCTGGGAAAACATTGGGTGGGACAAACGCTGTTGTTTTGAATATTGCGTGAGCTGTGTCCCACCCGGGTCGCCGTGAGTAACGCCTGTGTCTGGTGATAAAGCAGAGTTCGCGAGTTCAAATCCCATGAGTACTAGATTGGTTGTTATTGACCACTGATTTACTTCTTTGAGGTTGACAGTGATAAGCAGTCACATTAGTAAGCTGACATGTTTTTTGCAAGAAGCTTTTAAAAATGAATGTTTACAGCCTTTTACATTTGACTGAGCAGTGCTGTCTGGCACCATTCACCAGCGTAACCATCAAAGATGGTAAAAACATGATTTAATGCAGCGCATATGCATTGAATTTTTAAAAATGCATTTTTGGTGCATATTCAGTATTTTGATATTTTTCCAGTTAAAATTTCATAATTTTAATGTTGGTCATTTAGGATATTATGGAGGAACCTGTGTACCTTCAACGACAGCAATCAGTAGGGCCTGTAAGGCGTTGGGATTAGCAGTGGTTTAGTGTGGCACACTTACGGCACGTAACATAAGGCTCTGCTTGGAGGAGTTAAATACTATTTCTTAAAAGTCTGCTCATAGGATTGCAGTGAAGACTGTATGAAGTCGACCTACCAAATTTCATTACGGTTGTGGCTGATCGATGAGACTTTCTGTTACACAAACGATGTGTCACTTGTGAAGGCCACTCCTGTGTCTCTGTGCCTATGGAACGATTTCCCTTGTTTTTGGCCCTCTGGAGACTAGCTGAGAGAGGCTTCCTGAAAGTCTGACTCATTTTCCTACCGCTTTATCAGCTGCAGTTCGGGAGACGGGAACGCCTGCTCCGGGTACGACTGCAGCCGCTGTGCTGGTTTTCCCATAAGCATAACCCTACTGTAGCTCTGGTGTGGTTACTGCTGATGACGGTGCAGCAGCAACGCTGGATTTATGGAAGTGTTTATGACGGCAAAATAGCCTGAAACTAGCGGAGATGAAAGTCCTGGGGTTTCAAACCACCTGTTCATGGTCCTGAGTCTCTCTGTTGCCGTGACATCTTGGTTCTGTTTGTGTACGTGTGTTTCCTCAGCGTGCTGAGGGAGTGTAAGAATGTGGAGCTGTCCTTCAGTGACGTGACCGGCAGGGGCGAGTTGTTGAGGGGCACCAGGAAGGGCACTACCTACTTGACTCCATACAGGGTAACTGAGCTCTCACCTCCCTGTCGTTTTTGCATTGCTGTGCTGAGGGTCTGTTCCTGTTACCCATCATGCCTCTCTTCCTCACTTAGATGGTGTTCGTTTCCCACAATGCCAAAGACAGCTTGGTCTCTGTGATGTTCCCCTATTATCTGATGAAGGGCTGCAGCATCGAGCAGCCTGTCTTTGGTGCAAACTTCATCAAAGGCACCATTTCGGCTGAGCCTGGGGGTATGCTTTTCTTCCTGCTGCCGTTGCTGGCTGCCTGCATTTCTGAAGTGCATTCCCTGTAGTGCTGATATTGTTTTACATCAGCCCATACAAGATTGTTATATAATACTTATGCTGCATGCCAGTTAAGTCGGAGGTCGGAATTTCTAAGGTGGAAAAAAAAAAACGAGTTCTTAGTTGGAGCTGTTCCACAAGTTAGACGCCAGATGTAAACAATCAGCTTGGCTAACTGCCATAATATCATTTTACAGTATAATAAATCTATGTACAAAATAATATGAATAATTATCTTGTAAGTCTATGAATTGTAAATCAAGAATAATGTACAATAGTGTAAGCATAACACTGAAAGGTTGATTAATTGAAAATTGGCAGCCTATGAAATTTTAATTTCTGCATAGGCTAGAACAGGGGTGGCCAATCTTATCCGCAAAGGGCCGGTGTGTATGCAGGTTTTTGGGATAACCTGTAGGTCAGCTGTTCAAACCCAGGTGTGAGGACTCTTCAGCCAATCAGTCCTCTAATTAGTAATCTAATTAGGGAGTTGCAGCGAAAACCTGCATACACACCGGCCCTTTGCGGATAAGATTGGCCACTCCTGGGCTAGAACTAGCTGTAGACTGCTACCATATAGCTAAACAGCAATATTTGCAATTGGTTTTGACATCGATCTACATACATAATTGGTTTTGTTTTGTGTAGTGTTTTTATTGCAAGGTAAGACAGGGAAAGTCACTCTATAAGGCCTTTGCTTTGATTGCCCGTGCGGAGGCTGCCGTGTTGTCTGACATCACAACACCCGCTTCTTGGTGAATTCGGGGTACGTGATGTCGGTCCGAGCTTCCCAGTTGGAGCTCCGGCTTCGCCACTCCATAGTACTTTTTCAGGTAGGAGGGAGAGGGCGCTGTCCAGTTCAGAGTTCCAATTCGTCTGGAACGCAACGTTAGTCAACGGCATAAAATAAGTCGTGAAGTCGCTTTCCATATTCATTCACACCATGCAATAATAGTGCATATTATGTTCCGACCTGTGCAGATTTAATACTTTGCCCTTGCCCCTTATAGAGTGACCCTTTCTTTTCTCCCGTCTCTGTCTGAAGGTGGCTGGGAGGGACATGCTGCTTTTAAGCTCAACTTCCCCAGTGGAGGCGCCATAGAATTTGGCCAGCAGCTCTTCAAGCTGGCCTCCAGCGGTAAGGGTGCAGATGGGCCCGTCTGCCGCAGGTCACACCGCGTTGTCTCTCTAGGTGTTTCTCGATATACGATCTTGACCATTCTTGTGTTCTCGGTTACCCGTTTTACGTCGTCTCCTATTGCCCAAGACCAGTTCCAATACTCAAGAACAGAAGTACGGAAGGACGGTAAAAATCCGCAGATGTCGTTCTTGTCCCGCCCTCAAATATCAAGGATACATCGGTTGCATCCTCGCCGAATGAGACCAATCCCATGATTCTTTGCGCCCCAAGTTCATTCTTGGGAGGCGATTTAGCAAGACCGGTCTTACCAAGCCCACAAGTAGGGTCTTTACATTCTTGGTATTGAGAAACACCCTCTGTACCGCATGAGTCTCTGCTGGCGGGACCTTCCTTTATATTTAATGAGCTGTAGCTTTTGTGTTTGGTGTAATTCTGCCATCTTTTCTGTATTTTGTTTCTCTCAGCCTCACGTGCGCCGCCGGTGCCCAGTGGAGGTGCTTCATTTGGCTACCCTTCTCCTGGAGGCATGAATAATTATGTGCCTGCTGTTCCTGTTCCTGCTCCTGCTCCTGCTCCACCCCCAGCCCCATACAACTATCCCCAGAATTACCCCTATGTGCAGCCCCCCCCGAGCAATGGTTACTACCCAGGGGCACCTCAGCCACCTGCTGCAATGGGGTATCCGTGCCCGCCAGCATCTGCAGGTCAGGATCTGCTTCCAGGAACAGCTAGGAATGGATAGGAATCTCACCTTTGTCAAATATTACTTGGTGTATTAAGCATTTCATTTTTGATGTTAATCCAGAACCACTAGATGGATGTTCCATTTACACTCGAGTCCAGTCTCTTGGTTACACCTGCTTGTTAACAGTCTGCTCCGACAAGCAGCCCATCACGTAGCTGCAGCTGAATACACATGGAACACAGATCGGGTCAAGAGGTTCAGTTACTACTCACTTTAACATTAGAATAATAAAGTAGTAGATGCCTGATCTAAGTGATGCTGTGTGATTGTTGGTGCCAGACGTGGTTCCAGAATCTCAGAAACTGCCACTTTCCTGGGGGTTTTATACAGCAGCGACAATTTACATAGAATGGGTTGATGGATGGAAAAACAGTCCCGCTAATGGCCTTTCTGTGGCTGAAAATACCGTGAAAATACCGTGTTAATGAGAGAGGTCCGAAGAGAATGGGTTAGGGTCATTAAAGCTAATTGGAAGACTACAATAACGATAGTGTGTAAAAAGACCCGCTCTGAATGCACCACTCATTTACACTTGAGGTGGTTCTGGAGGTAAAAGCGGTTCCTACCTGGTGCTACCAGGTAGTATACTGCAGTACCTGATGTAGTATATAGTATAGTATAGTATCTGAGCATATATTTGCAGATGATTTAATTCTGTCATAATAATCAAGGTTTCTCTTGTTGTTCTTTTGGTTGCAGGGGTATACCCAAGTGTCCCAGCGGTCCCCAGTGCCCAACCTGCCCCCAGTGCCCCTCCCTACATGCCTCCTCCTCCACCGTACCCTGGGCCTCCCCAGGGCTGGCCAGCTCCCTACCCAGGTAAGGGACCACAGCCCAGATCTCCATGTCTGTCACATTATATAACAATTATTCTGAGAGGGAGTGTCTGCTGAAGGGAAACGGGGGAAATGGGAATGGAGTCGTTTGCTAAAGAAAAGCAGGAATTCATGCTAATTAAGGCTTTTCATTTCAATTGCTCTTCTAAGAGTCTTTGTTTTTAAACATAGTCATTCTTAGAAAATGCTCAGTCATTATAATTCACAATTATAATGTTTTTTTTTTTTAATTTTCAAAATAATGGGGGGAGGTGTGTCGCTCAGCGGGTGAAGACTTTGTGCCTGTGATTGGATGGTCACGGGTTTGAATCTGGGGCCGGCAGACTTATGCCGACGTTGGGCCCGTAAGGTCCTCAACCCCCAGCTCCATGGGTGCTGCATGCTGGCTAACACTGCACTGTGCCCCCCCCCCCAGCTTGCTGTCATCTGCATATGTGTCTGTGTGTTGCACGGAGAGCAAGATGGAATAGGTGAAAAGACAGTTTCCATGGGGATGAATAAAGTATCGCTTATTCTATTCTATTCTAATCCAACCCAATTCTACTCTAATCCAACGTTACAACTAAGTTTCCCAATTTGTAAGCCAAGAATTTTGGTTATTTTGACTCTTTAAATATAAAATACAGATATGGTGCAGTAGATATGGTTAATGTGTCACAGTACAGGAAATTCAGTCTTTTTAATGGTTTGTTTAGGTCACATCACAAACATTTTTAAAAATCCTTTATTGTTGGCATAATGGAAAATATGTTACAGCTGGACCTACACACACACACACACACACATTCCCTTGCTCTGGTTCTGTTAAATATAAGCAGCTAAATTTAGCATCACCTGACTTGTTTTCATTGGTCAGCACTCTGAAGTGAAGGCAGTGCAGAATGAATGTCTAGATAAATGGCTTTGCCTAAAGATGGGCTCTGTGACACACCAGCCAACTGATTCAGTCCAGCTTTGTCTGCAGTGGCCAACAATCAACGTGATCATTTATTGACTGAGGGCAGCTCAATATAGCAAGCTGTGCATATATATATATATATAGATGTTAGAAAATTGGTATTAGCCATTTGAACAAGTTATACAGTTGTACAGTTGCTCGTTATATAAAAAATCTATGTACATTAGCTCTCAGTATATTCTTTTTATATTTGTTTGAGGTGTACATATTTATACCTTTTTACAGATAACCTGATTTTCATTCCTCAAAATTCCTTTCTCTTCCAAAGATTTTGCTGCAGTTGGTTATAAAGTCACTGTGATGTGGTATCTGGTTATCTGGTTACCGAAGGTTTATGGGTAGTTCAGATGTCAGTAGAGATGCATCATATATTGGTTAGTACATCGGCGTCAGGCGATATTTGTTAAAAATCATGATATCGGTATCGATCCAATGTGTCATTCTTGACTAATATTGCTGGCTGAGATTTATTCATTATTCAAAGTTAGCAGCATCGAAGCTAAATACACCAAAGGAGTGGAGATGATTGTATTGGATGATCAGCCATAGAAGAGGATGAAGGGTTTCACTTACCACTTACACGTGTCTAATTCACAATTAAATTGGTAAATTTTACCATATTGGTGCACCGTTATCAGTTTTGTTTGGCATGTATGAAAACTATTTCATCACTGAAATTCCTAACCCTCAGACTTCCTTTTCTTGCTTCATTAAAATGCATTTCCCATTTGATGTGTTATGGCTCCTAAATTACTGTTTGTTGTAATATTGATTTTGAATATTACGAGGGTGAAGTGGATATTACAAACAATATTATTGCTATTCTTTGCTCTCGTCATTCAGCAAAAGCATACGATTCAGACATTCAGTGCCACATTTCCACTGTCTGTGGTGTTTTCAGGTTCCGTGCCGGCAGATGCGGCAGGCAATGCCTTCTACATCCCCAATAACCCTCACAACGCGTACATGCCCATGGTAAGTGACCCCTCCCTTCTGCCCACAGCATTCTGTTTTCATTTGTAGCACATGTCCTTCTCTTTGCGTCCCCAGGAACAGCCTCCCCCCTATGCCCCCTACGCCCCCTATCAGGACAAGAAGAACAACTGAGACCTTTGAAAAGAAGCGATGCTCCTTAAGGTGTCTCTGAACACCCCCCCACACCCCCCCTCGGCCCCCAGCTGGTAGCACTCATGTAAATGATGTGCGTTAATCCAAGTGCTGCGTTCATACATACCAGAATACAGTCACCATTAATGTACCAAAAACCCACATCATGGATTTTGGATGAAACCAAAACCATGTGACATTTGATGAAAATTAACCCCCAGCTGTTTCCTGTTGTGTAATACAAAAAAAAAACAATCGATTGGCCCTTTTTAGATGACTACTTTTTCGTGCAATCCTATGAATTTTCTGCTGGGATTTTCGGTTTAGCCATTAAGAATGAGGAAGTGATCAAACCGAAAGAAATCTTTTATGGGTATTAATTACAGAATTGTAGTACTCATTAAAATACTTTTTTTTACAAAGTATGTATGACTAAAACACCTTATTGGTCATTAGTTAGAGATAATGTTATTTTGAAGTGAGATTACTAATTATATGCACATGATATATAAACACTATCGGTAACCATTCTCGGAATAGTTTGTTGGTTTGCTGCCATTTTCATTTGTTAATTTTCATTATTAGTGTGGTAAATGTTAATGACCAAACGCTTCCCCCCTCGGTTGTGTTAATGCTTCTTATGAATTGTTACTCTTCTACAGACATTTTTACTGTCATAGCCTAGAGACTTAGAACAAGTTGCAAGGAATCCTCAATGTTATGTAATACTAAGTCAATCATGAGTGGTTAACGTGACCATATTTTTTTTTCCTTTTACTTGATGTGACATTAAGTTATGTTTTTTTTTGTTACATTCATATGGTGTTTAGCACCATTTGATTTGTCTGTAAGTTACTAACTGCATTTTTTTTGTTGCATGTTTGTGTCATGGGTTTCTTATTATTAGTACAATAGTCAAACTATTGATAAGTTGAGTAGAATACAATAGTGATATTTAATTAATCCCCATAGGGAAATCCTCTTTTCACCATTACCCCATCTTGCTCTCCTGAGACAGGCAGACACATGTGGGGGTGAGTGCAAAGCTTGGGGGTCACATTTGCAGGCCAGGCAGTGTGCAGTACCCATGGAGCTTGGGGTTAAGTGCCTTGTTCAGCAACCCAACGGCAGCATCAGTCTGCCAGCACTGGGATTTAAACCGACAACCTACCGTTCATGGGCACAGAGTCCTAACCAGCTGAGCCACACATCACCCCTAATGGTATTCCTAAGGATAAACCAACTCCACATTCTTTGTAATAGCATAGTGTTTGTAATAGTGTTTGGCTATAGACCAGCATAAATTGAGTTAACATTTCTGTCCAAATTCTAAGGGTGTTGTTGAATATGCATTCATTTATATCCCAAAAGAAGTTAACCCTTGTTGGAATATTTCAAAATTAGTTATACTCTACTAAAGCATTTTAAGATATTTGAGGTGTGCTCAAAGATACATTCAGCTCTAGTTGCTACGTACATTTCAGTTGTAAGTCTGTGTTGGCATGCACTGTTCACCTGGATACTGACTGAAAGGGGAGTTGTATAAAAGACTGCTTAACCGATCAGTTAAGTGAAAGAAAAATAGCTAAACCGCAACAACAAAGTGATTGTGAGATATGAATAAATTAGAATCTGAAGCCATTTTGTTTACCTGAGACCACAAGGTATTCAAATAACTCTGGATTTCCTAATATAATACATTCCAAATATTCTGTAGTGATAACAAGGAACCCATTTTAGAAAGGTGCACATACGGTCAATCATGTGAAATATGCTATATGTCTGCCAATTCATTTTTTATGAATATGGAACAATTTTCCATGCATACAGATGGCAGTTTGTGTGCACACAGTCGTTTGGTGCTGTTCCACGTCTCGCGATGCTCTCGCCAGTTTCCAAGGCTTTCAGCATCTTAAATCAGTACCACGGCATGATTTCATCATTTTTATTGTGGTTTCTTTTCCCTTTTTCCTTTGATTACAACACAAATGCTATTCTTTCGTCACAGGTTAAAGTCCATGTGAAAACATTAACTATGTGACAATACCAGGACAGACCATGTTTATGCTGCGCATTGAGTAACTGCACTCTGCTCACTATCCAAATTTGTCAATTTTAGAGAAACATATTCTCTCCTTTGGCTCAGTATATTCCGACTAGGAAGATGTGTTTTGGTCTTGAAACCCTAGACAGGCAAGTCATTAACCAGTAATGAGTCAGAGTAGCATGGATTGTAATACCATGGCAGTAATTAACAGCTATTAATGCACTCCTGCTTTAAGCTTATTTAAGGTTTTAAGTGGTCATGGAATGTTTTTGCACAGGGGAAATGTTTGTATTAGGATGGACAAGCGTAAGTATCAGTTTCAATATTGTTCCTAACTTGTATCTATGTTAAAAATATTGTAAATAAATACCTCTGAACCATTATTTGTTTTTTTGTTTTTTTTTTTCCCCAAAAACAGCCCTACATAGACCGCATCATTTGATCTGTGTTGTTATGGCAACTTATCAAGCTCTCGAATGATGCATTAAGGTTTTATGCCAACTGCTCTCTGCTTCCTGAGGTACATGGGGAGACCCTATGCACTGAAATCTGGATCATGTACTATGGAGACATATTTCAATGTAAACGCGATATGTCACTGCATTAAAAGTTTTTTAATACGGAAGAGTAATAAAGTACATTCTGCAATCAACTTAATACAAATATTTAACCTTACATTTTTTTCCCTAAAATATTGGTATGATAATCATGGCTACACATTTCAGATTCCTTTACGCACATCATTTACATTCCCTTTACATTATCACTCCAAATCTGTCAAAGAGGGTGACTTATTCCATTGTAATTTAAGCAATACCAAAACCCCAGTCAAGGGTGAACTACACTGATGAGGATTTTGTTTAATAATTTGCAGCAATAAGAGGTTATTAGTTCCAGCAGAACAAGTGCTAAACTTCACAGCAATTTACATATTGATCTTATAATGACATCCATTTATACAGGCAGATTATTTAGTTGAACTTTGACTTACAGTTGGGGTGTAATCAAGGACCTTTTCCAGTCTAATAAATCTTATTTATAGTGGCCCAATGCCGCCGCCTCAGTGCTCCTCCTTTATGAACCACACCTCGTTACGTCTGCCATAGGGTTTCACCGGGGGGTCGTAACCGCAGCAGAAGTACTTGTCCTTCTGGAAGGTGGTGCCCTCACCGAGCATTTGGGTCAAGCGGGCAGCCTCTGTGCAGTACTCTTTCTCATGTGCGTACCCTCCAAACCTCCTGGTTATTAAGAAAAAACAATGGCGATAGCTGACCACTAACGTAGATGCTGGCAGACATCAGCAGAAGCTTCGGACGTGGCCCACGGGGGGGGGGAGGGGGGCAATATAAACGCAGATGCACTCACGTCACGTATACAGTCAAGGCCGCTCGATCTTCGAACTGGATGCTACTGTCAGTTGGGGTAGGAGGATTCTCCTGGTAACGTTCGGGAAGGCGTAGCCCAACGACAACGCGATCCTGCAGTGTGCCGTCGTCTTTGGGAGAGACCGTTATGCAAACAGGTGCAGTCATTCCCATTCCTTCTCCTGAAGCAAAGGGAGGGAGCGGGACACGGTAAGGCGAGGATGACACCGTTCCAAAAATCAAACAATTAGAAGGCAATTATCTTTCTTTTGAATGACAGCGAAGGATGAGACACACTTCTGTCATTACAGAGTTACACACAGGCTACGCCCAGTCTCACTCTCACCTTTGTCATTGTTACCCCCAACATACAGAAGCATCTGCTTCATGCACTCCCCTGTAGACTGGTCGAAGGGCTTGCCCTCGCTGGTCAAGGTGGCGTAACGAGCGGCTTTGTACCTCCGGATCTCATAGGTGCCCTCTTCCTGGCGAAGAAAGAGTGTCCCCGCTGCTTTTAATGCAAGCCAGAATTTTTCACCAAAGAGTCAAATTAGCATGACTATGAATATAGTGGATGTTGCTTAAAACAGTGGCCATGGAGAGTAATTAGGCAGGCAATAATCCTTTTGCGTATTATTATTATTATAAAAATACATTTTTGCATTCTTTAGAAACATTCCAGCTGCATTAATCCATCCTTATAATCCATGTCAATGTAAGCTGTATAACGACAGGTTCATTGTTTTCATACAACCTTACACCCAGGCAAATTATAATACTGCACAAAACAGACAATGCAAACGTAAGCTGGGACAAACTTTGTTTTAAATGAATTAGCAATAATCATATTTGCAAAATAGTTTGAACATAAAATCATTTGCTAACACACCAATACATTAGTCTGTATATTTAGTATTGTGGTGATAATGGACAGAGGACAATGCATCTCTAATGTCCCTTACCACAATTCATGCTGAACTCTAGTGATTCGGTTAAACTTGATAAAAAGAGGATGTGGAATTCTCTTGACTCTTGTCATGCATGAAATCAGAGTCTGTAAAATTTACATTATTCTCACATCTAATTCGTTGTTCTCTGCTTATGTGACTACGGACCAGACATGGATATCACTGTTCAGTGGTCCTGTTCAGTGTGATCTATTGGGAATCACAAATATATACAGGCTTACTGTGTATTATCGATAAAGAAATGAAAGCGTTCAAGTTCAATTGCAAGACCTGCAAAACAAAACCTGGAGTCGGCTTAGTAACCGGTGGATTACAGTAACAAACCTGTTCCACCGATACTGGAAATGAAGTCTAAAATAACACATATTGCATGCTAGCAAGGTAGTTAGCGTTAAAATGAATATTTAAACAGATGCGTTTTAATAGATGGTACAGATTAATTTTGATTAAACTAGTGCCCGATCCCTTTTTCTTTTTCGTATGTCGAGGGAACCTTCCCCCAGTCGAGCACCTGCCCGTCAAATAGTCTCTGCGCAGCTCTGTTAAATAGTATTTGATCCAATGAAAAAGTACGCTTGCTACCCAGACAAACACACACAAATCACTATATTATACTACGTTTAAGAGGGAACCTATATGGATGTAAAACAGAAGTTTCAAATCAATAAACTGCGAGACAGGTGACAGTTAATGCTAACTGAGGTCATGTGGTCTCAGGATGATCATATGATAGTCATTCGGTAGTCACATAATTTGCAAAAAGTGATCAAACAACGCTATAAGTTCATCCAAACTAATTGTATGCAGATTTTGAAAGACAAGGTAGGCCCCTATGTGAAAATACAAATATACCGGTGTCTTATTTCATGGCTCAATCGGAACTCATCACATAACCAAACACGGTCGGGAAAAACAATGCGGGCTACAGCAGCGTTACCGAAAACATTTTTCGGTTGACTCCCAAGTTTCATATATGGCTTAAACTGGTTTCTGTTTTCTATTTAAAGGGATATCACGCATCAAACAAGATTAGCAAATGTAATCAAATTAGCAGTTTTCGAAGTGATTTTATGATTGTTGATTTTTGTGTGCGAGAGTACTATTAGGTTGACGGTATAATCAGTGGTGGTGAAAAACTTAAAATAAATGATCAATTACACATAGAACAAGTGTCGACAAAAATATATATTTATTTATATGTGTGTTTTACGCGAAACAGCTCGACTGTGTACTTCTCAAAAAATAAATAAAACAATAAAAACAACAATATCGGCGTTTCATACCTTGGTCTCGTTACTGAGAACATCGTATTTGGTTTCCTCGGTTCCTCCGAAAATGGAGTTTTTGATTATTCCGAACATCTTGCCTCTACTTAATCGCGCCGCTGGCTGTCACGGATGGTGCTGCGGTTGTGCTCGACACTGGACGAAAACTCCAAATATCTCACGCAGACTAACGTTGCTCGAAACTTTATTTCGCAATTCGTCTCGCTTCGTTTGTTTAGTCTTTCCCCTGCACTGTTTTTCTGGCTTGCCTTTCAGCTGCACTTATCTTTGCAGAACAGCAAAAAAACGCCTTTCTCGCCGCACCCCTTTTTCCTTGTCAATTGTGTAATTTTGCTTTTTTCCGTCCCATTGTTTCTTCGTTAAAACCTCGAGGTCAACCCGTATCTCATCAAAGGTTAACTATATACTGGAATTTTCAGTTTGTTTTTTTTATAGATTATGACTATTATTTGTGATCCCTGCAACCCTAAAAAAATCACCGTTTATGTCATTCATATGTCTATTCAGATGTCAACGCGAGAGACAACTCAACTGGCAACTCAGCGTAACTGTTATGCTGAATTATGTCATACCATGTATGCTGTTCCACATGATGTTACAGGTGATTATAGTATCGTCTCTTCATACCTCAAAGGTTCAGGGTTTCTCTCTGTGACTGCGGAGTTTGCATAGTCTCCTATGTTTTGTGGGTGTACTCTGGGAGATCTGTTTCCCCCTTTAATCCAAAGATGTACAGATAATTGGATCAATAAATTGTCCGTTGTGTAACTAGGAACATGTTGATCATTATAAGCAGTTAGAAGATGAATTGATGTTTGAGCAGCTGCATGAACAGCCAGATCAAGCATGGGCTTTTGTGTGTGGTAGAGAGAGAAATTAAGCCGATATTTTTATGCTGAGAGGGTGGTCAATTAGTAACATCTTAATTGTGATGACACAGCTTTATATTTTGCATGCATTAATTATTTAGATACTGTAACCCTGTACAGGTTAAGCAATTAGCAATATAAGGATAGACATGTTAGTTGGAAGAGTTTTTGTGCTGATATTTCTAAAATAGACACGAGTCTTCCTCATTATCCATTAATTCTTTTTTATTTATTTCAGCTGTATTTCTCTACTTCAATTTATGAGTTGATAATTATCTTGTATAAAAATATCTGTGTGGTATATGCTGAGTAATAGTATCATTTGATGCACTGGAAATCACTATAGTAAATGAGTCTGAGATGTGAGGACTTGGGTTAGTGCTTAAGGGCCTGTACTCTAGGTCCCTACAGAGGGATTCTGTTGTGCAGTTCGGGGAAGATTTAAAATTGCACCACAGTAACATTGAATGTGAAGCAGGCCGCTTATGAATAGGGAACTACTCAACTATGCAAATTAATAATTGAAAAAAAATAGAGGTCATTGCCCGATCGTCGTTTCTTAACTACTGTTCTTCACATTTCCCTCACAAGAATGACTAAAAAAACTGATAGGAGTCTATGGGAGAAAGAAAAAAAAACAGCTGCCACATTAATTTTTTTGGTTATAATGTACAGCTACGCTTACAGATATATATATATATATATATATATATGTCTTTAATATATTGTTTAATATACGTATATATAATTTACGAAATCCATTCAGGTGCTGTTTCCAACTAATCAACTTAAATTTGAATGTGCAAACTATTCTTTAAATCCCATGCCCAGTCTAACATTTACTCAGTATGAGATTTACCGTATAAGATGTAGTAATTGCTCAAACTCACACAATGGCAAAGTGGTTAGCACTGGGCCCTGACATCTGCAGGATTGGGAGATGGAATTCTCCTCGTATGTGTGGAGTCTCCCTTTTGCCCCCTTGTTGTGAGGGTTTCTCCTGGATCCTCTAATTTTCTCCATCAGTACATACACACCACAGACAGGCATTGAAGTGAATCAGTGGTCATAAATTGCCTGCAACATGTGATTCTGCAAGTGTATGCATATGCATTGGAGTGTCCTGACTGGTAACTCATCCAGGGTGGCCTGTGTTTTGTGGGATATGCTTCAGGCCACCAGTTAACATCTACTCATCTACTGGGTAAATGGGCACAAGCTACGGAAAAAAAACATTTTACATTTATTTTACATAGCAGACACTTTTGTACAAAGCGACTAGCACATTACAAACATATATTGCCAAAGTCAAGATGTATCAATATAAGAACCATTTTTAAGCAAGTTATTGAAATTGGGTGTCTTGCTTTGGGCTACAAAGTGAGCACTTTGGCCTTTTTTATGGCAAGTCCATCAGTATAAAAACACACTGAAGATTTAAAGAGTTTTAGCAGACCATTTTAAAGTTGATGTTTTGTGGATGTGTAACCAAAAGCGGAGCTGTGGAATAAAACGCTTTGTTTTCAGAAAGGGACTTGTTGAAATCGGCTGTAATGGAAAACATTAACCACCAGGTGGAGATTTAACATTACATTTGTCGCTCTTTTCAAATGTAACCGCATGACGGTGCTCTAATCTTCTACTATTCTCCGCATTAAGATGTGGATTAAAATAGTTTTGTGCGCTATTGAAGCCTGTATGTTTCTCCGTTGTTTATTTAAGACATGTATGTTGTATTATTTTACTAGAACACAAAATGTGAGTGTTTATAATAGCATGATAGTCATACTCGACATAATTGTACTTTTAGGATTCAGATTTATGCTTTACCAATTTCAGGGTCGTAATCTTTATGTAAATATTTCAGTTTTAAAGGAGAATCATGTAATCAGTGTAAAATGGAAAATGGTTAAACATAAAACATATAAGCTTTATTTATAAAAATAAAGCTGAATTCACCGAGATGAATTCTAAAATGGGTCATGTCTCCAAGAATATTAGATCATTTGAGGTCTAGCAATTTTTCGAAGCCCATGTTGCACCCTAGGCGAGCTTCACCGCTGGCGATCTCCCTCACCCCACCTCCCCTCGCCAACCGCTGCCGCCGATGCCAGAATAAACGCGCAAACAATTGGAGTAAAGTTATAAATGTAGTTCATTGTTTAATATTATACAATAACGCTCTACATAAACAAGTGCTGTTATTAAAAAATAATTAGGGCTGCAAATCAATAGAAAAAAAATAACTAATTAATCGCACACTTTTCTGTGATTAATCGCACCTAACATTAAAACTCATAAATATTTATACAATAAATCCTCAAATTAATGTAAAATTAAGACAACGGGGAGTATATGGGTCATATCACACAAACTCATTACCGTAACATGCCAATTTTCTCTAATTGTTAGAATTAGATTGAAGACTCAAATTATACAACTTCTTTGTTTAAATTGCTTGATTTCAAATCTTACATAGTAAATAAGTTTTCTTATATTACAATTTATTGCTGTACTAAACAGAAGTATTTAACCAAATGCAGGGCGAGAGTTATGGAGATTAATAAATGACAACACTAACCAAAAAATCTTATCATATAACTTGATTGTTTATTGTGGGTTACATGAAATAAAATTGAAATGTTTAAAGACATTTTATCTAGTTTTGTGTTATTTGATTTTTTTGGCTGCGTATTTGGGGAATTTAAAAAAAAAATCATTAAATCAGGGGTAAAAAAGCACAGTGGAGAGTAGCAATGGGAAAAGGAAGTAACGCTTCTGAAAAGAAGGCTTAAAATAACTTATTGAGGTGGTGACCAAACATATATTTTAACAAAATAATAACTGCAGTGTTGTACAGCATACTAGTGTTCAGAACAGCACAGCAGCGTTCAGGAGGAAATGTTAGAGCTCGCGAGGACTTGTGTAGGCACCAGAATCGCATCTTCCACATGCCCAAAGCCCCCTCTATAGCAGTGTGTGTTCTTTGGTGTGTGGTGTTATACCCCACCTGAGCCACGGTTTGGGGATTCAGTACTGGATTCGGCAGGTATTGGCCAGTAACCAGCCACCAGCAAACATACCATCCTTTGCCATCTGACTCACTCCAAAGCTGGACCAGATATAAGCATCATGTGTACCCCAGGCCACTTGGTGACAATGTCTGTAAAATGTCCTTAATTGCATATCATCTGGACATTTAGGCCTAGTGGCGAGAATCCTTCTCGACAGGCGCAGGTGGGATTCAAGACGCAGCGAGGTTGAATAGGGTTCAGCGTTCCATCCACTGCAGCTACAATAACAGGTATGCCAATTTTAGTGTCATGCACGGCATCCCCTCCTGCTGGAAACTGTATGTAGTTCTGCATGTGGTGCAATAGAAAAAGCATGCACAGGTGCAGGACACAGCAGCCTTGCTGAGGCCATGTGCATCTGTAGGTCTGCAGGAATCCAGTGGCGTAGAAGCAGAGAGCTGTCAGAAGCTGCACGGTGCACCGAGGGCAAAAGTCCAGTGTGTTCCTCTTTTCAATTTATCCTGCACCAGACCAAGAGGCTCATTATTTCACCTCAGGCCAGCCTGTACTTCTCTATGAATTGTTCATTAATGAGATGATCCGAGGGGTTCATGGCCACCCGCAAAACAGCAACTTGGCTTCCTGGATGACTCCATCTCAAACATTTTCTTGGCTGACTTGCAGCATATACCTCCCTTTTAGTAAGCATGTCCACTCCTTTCTGTGTTCAGTAATGTTAGTTTGCACAGGGGGGGCGGCCAGTTCAACTTGGACCCCCAGAGGTTTTTTTTCTCCCTACTTGGGAGTTTTTGGTTCCTCTCCTCCATTGTCTTCTGGCTTTCTTCTTTCTTTATTCAATTTCTTTCCTTCTTTCTTTCCCTTTCTGTATCTCCCTCTACTTATGTTGTATGTATCACAACACAACTTTGTTCTGAAAGGCTCTTTATAAAAATAAATTGAATTGAATTGAATTGAATTTAACAATTCTCTGCCTCATGAGGGGGTGATTCACCTTCCCAATTCAAAGGATGTGACTGAACACATTGCAAGTTTGATTGGTTTGCTCATTACGCAGCCTAACAGGGTTGTTTGGAATTTATGAATTGTGCCCCATTCTATTAATGAATTGGAATTTGAATTGAATTGCCCACATCCTATAAATTGAATTGAAATGACAGTAAGAAGAATTTAATTCATTTCAATTCAATGCATTTCAATGCAATCACACAACACAAGAATGTCATTTAATCTAGCAAAACATAAATAATAACATAATAGATTTACTTTCAAGATGGTAAATGTATTTATTGACTTTATATAAACCTTGTATAAAATTTGTCTTTGGTCGATTATTTCTTTGTTGTGACAAGGCTTCTTGGCCATAAATCTTATACCGAAAGCCTGTTTATTTCCCTTGTAAATGGTGCCACATTTGTAAGGAAAATGCATTTGTAGGCTTGTCATCATTGGAGGTAATTCCAATGCAGAGAGATATCGAGATGAGGTTCTGCAGCTAGTGGCAATCCTATATCTCCAGTCTAGGACTAAACTATATCCTCCAAGATGACAACGCTCGCCCCCACTGAGTGGGGTTTATCAGAGACTACCTGCAGAATTTGGGAGTGGAGAGGATGGAATGCAATTAATGCATTAATTCAACCCCATTGTGCAAAATGTGTCAGGGTCAGCACCCGTTTGTCCCAGTCTTTCGTGTCTTCTCCCCGTTTGGCCAGCAGGTGCCGCTGGCCATCCTGTCCTCCCCGTTGTCAGTCTTTAGTGTGTTTCCCCTGCTCCCCGGATGGCTCAATAAGTTGAGTGTGTGGCTACCTGTAAACTCCTGTGTTCACATCTTGCCTCCTCTGTTTTTGTAAATTTTGTTCCCTAGTATTTCATTTGTGTCAGTTTTTCTAGTTCCTGAGTTTTGTGACTTGTATTCGGTTTTGGTTTTCTGCTTTGTGCCCATGGTTGTGTTTTACCTGTCTTTGTTATTCCCCTATTTAGAGATTCTGTTTCTTAGCTTCTCTGTTAGTTTCTGAGTTCCTTGATTTAATTAGTTGTTTCACCTGTTGCCTATTTTACCAGCCCTTGTTAATTGTTCTCACCTGTCCTGCATTATTCTTGTTAGCCCTCTGTATTTACGTTCCGGATCCTGTTCTGTTCCTGGTGGAGTCATTGTTGTTGTTGATGATGTTCTAGATGATGGTGTTTTTGTTGACTGTGTTTTTGCTATTTTTGATTCCCTGCCTGTTCTCTGTGTAGCTAGTTTCCCTTTGTATATTAATTTGTTCTGTTAGTTACTTTGTACCCTTTTTTATAGTTTTGACCTCTCGTGGTCTGTTTTTTAGTATTTCCTAGTGTTTTCTGTTTCTGTTAATAAACCCCTGTTGTAGTCCTGCAGCCGCCAGTGAATCGTCCACCTTCTTTCATGCCCACACCATGCCTCGCCCCCTTGTCAGAAACTCGCAAGACCATGACAAAATGTCTCACAGACTTTTATCCATTTTAGTTTTTTACAAATGCAATGCATCGTAAATGCTTGAGAGAAATTCATAGTACATTATGTTGGTGTATGTTGATGCTTCCATGTCTCATTCTCGCCAGTGCGGGGAAGCAATAAAAAAGGCCAATAGGATGTTGGGGTATA